TGAAAAATGTTCAAAAAACACTGTTGGAACATTCAACTGTGTGATATTTTATGTAATTTAAATCAAGTTGAGTGAGCATCGTAGCATTTTCCATTGATGTCTTGTCATGTTTGTTGCATACAAGCTTCTTCCACTCATTAACTTTATCAGTAATTCATTGAGGTTAATTTTAGCTGTACTGTAAAAAGTCAATGACCTTTCCCATGTGTGGTCTAAAACAGCAACAGCCAGACAAATTTCACAGTCAAACTCAAGCCCAATGTTTAGACAAATGTCACTCATGGGGTGACATTAGAAGCCTTGCGTGCTAATGGAGCCTCTGATTGGCTGGAGTGGAAGTTTATAGCCCTGTCCCTTACACGGCGTCAGCCCTAATATACCCATTGGAGAAGAGGTGCCAAAAAGTGCACACAAACTGATTAAAACAACTGTCGACTGTGCTTGTGGTAATGAACTGGAACAAGCAGGAAAAGCAGAGTTTTATAATGAGGAGATGCAACAGGATGTAATAGAACAGCTGGTATATCATTAGAAACACTATAGCAACTAGCGGGGGTAGCCAGAATTTGGTTAATATGTTAAGTTTAATGAGACCATATAAATAATTAGCACTGTAATGCATTCATTTATTAAATAACTTTGAAATTGAATTGAAATCTCAATTTGAGATGCCCAAGTATCAAATCCAAAGGCTGCAATTATTTAGATAATACTGTATGTACTCTGCAAAGAACAAAATCTCCTGTCTTTTTATAGAACCATCTTGTTGTGCCTGTGGCTTAGACTGTTGCAAACATGTTCTTGTATTCTTGTATTAATTTCATTTTCAGTCTCAAATGTTACTGCTTCTGGTGTTGTTTACAGTGAGCGCTCTGAGCATAATCTTACTTTTTATATTTATATTGCAAGTCTAATCGCAATACTTGTCAAAAAAAAGTGTTTGGTATTTTTTTTCTTAATCATGCAGTGCTTTAAAATAATAATAATTGTAAGCAAGATGTAATTAAATGGCACTTTTACAATGTACATTTCAAGAACACTGTATCACAGAATTAATACCTTTTGAGAAACTATTCCCTTCAATTTTCAAATGCATGGATTGAATATTTATTGTTTTTAATAACTGAATGTTGGCTGATGGATTGCTTTGCTCTTAAACATCAACAGTTCACTTCCCTATTAGCACTGTAAGAGTTACCTTGGGCCTACTTGGCAAATTCTCAGGTTTCTCAAACAATGTTCTTACCTGACAATAGCTCCAGAGCAGGACCCATTATACAAATATCCTATTTGATTTTCACATCAAGTAATACTTACGCAATATGTTTTATTTATGGATTGTACTGGGATTATCCTGATTTGGGGTTATTGTGTCAGTGAAACAAAGTACTGCATGTTATTGTTTTGAGTAGCACACTACAAAATGGGTTATTGTTAAACACCTAATTCTTTGCCAAATAATGGCTGTTAATCACGGCTACATTCTACCATGTTTTAGTATGCTTATGTATATGCCTTATTAGATTTAAATATCAAGTCTGTTTTGCCTTAAGCAGGAAATAATATCAGCAATAGTATTCTACAGAATGCTTTTATTAAGACTATATTTTTAATTTAATTAAATGATCAATGTTTGATTATTTAAATGAGCAGCAGATACTGTACCCAATGTGACTCCAGTTGTAGGTGTTCATGCCTGCATTGCTCACAAAGTCACATCACAGACATGAGAATATTTCAAATGCCTCACATTACAACCTTTCTAAACTCTGACCATTATTATATTGCTCCATTTGATGATAAGAACCCAGTCCATAATACCATATAATCACCACATGTGCCTGGGGGGTTGATTTGTGGTTGGGTTGTGGTTGTTTATTTATTTTAACCAGATGAGCTCCTGGTATTTATAGCAGGAGTAACAGCACAGTGAGGGGTCAATCCTAAGACAAAACAATTTATAACTCGGGAATTGTTCGAAGTCAGACTGTCAGAAACTGTAAATGTAAGGATCCATGTATGTAACTAGAAAAATCTTACGTTAATAAATGAATAACACTTGAAATTATCTGTCCAGGTTTTAGACTTAAACTTAAATGCTTAAAATGAATATTGTTCTATTGGCAGCCACTGATAGAAATGTTCAGATACAGATTTGTGAATTTTCCTTAGAGATATTTCTCATAAGAATAGTGTGTGATTAATAGGGAATATTATTGCCCCCCATTTGTGACTATGCCATCATTACATCAAAGAATGAGAAAACTACCAATAAACAAACTACACTGATCCACTAAGGAAATTGGACACCGTAATTCAAAAGTACAAACTTAACCATTTGTAAGTCCAGAAGTTGGGGCGTGCCTGGGTGATGTGTGGCAGGGCAGTGGGACAGCGTGGAGCGGTGGGCGACCTCTTTGTTTTTAACCCCCGCAACTGTGCAGACCCCAAGAGCTTCTGTCACTGTGGGGAGTCCGCCTGGCCAAGATGAATGAGACCCAGTGGATTCTCCCCCTATATATTACTAAATAAAAGACATAGATAAATTCTGTTGAGCTCAGAATATTAATTTGAACTCACTATTTAAGACTAATTAACATTTCTTTACATGATGAATCTAGATTATCAGTCTTATTTCAGTATGTTTCTGAATGGTTTCAACTGTTTTTGCTTTTTATTACAACCTAAATTATTCAGGTTTCAAATTAAAGAATCTTGGTTATAGTCAGCCAATATAACTTAAAAAAATTGTAACCATGCTGTATTGCTCTTTTGGCAGTGTTCTCCCTTTAGTCTGGCAAATGGCCCACTAGGGGAGAGAAGAGCGGGTGACTGGGGGATCAAGGGTGGAGCTTATTTTCATGTGTGTTAGGAGAGAGACAGAGAGAGGGAGGGAGAGAGAGGGAGGCAGGGCTTCTGGTGCACTCCAAGTGGGAATCCCAGTTTGCTCAGTAGGCTATCATGACAAAGGTGTCTCCAGACCTACCAGGGAATTCTGTGCATTTTTGCTGTGTGGATATCAACTATTCAAGTGTTACCAATGGGATTTATTATCTGAAAAGGACTACCCTACTGAGCCCATAGGATTTGGATTGTACTACTTTTCAATTTGGGATTTTTAAGCGCTCACCCCAGGTCTTGGAGTCATGGAAGGTACCTACTACTGTATGTTTTTCTTTTGGAGCTCACATACATTAATGAGATAGGCTTTTAGCACCTGATTCAAACTACGTGGAGAAATGTTTGCCCTTTTCCTCCCGGCATACTTCCCTTCCCCCCTGTTTCTCATATCAGCTGGGCATTGACATTGAGTGACCATTGGCTTTTCTAATGTTAAATGTTGTGGCCCATTGGTATGGAGTTTTAAATGGTGCAGCATAACAATGAGGTGAAAACGATTGAGATGTTTATCAAAATTTGACTAACATCTTGTGGTTTCATGGCTACAGCGAGGAATATCCAGTTTAAGCACTTTAAAATATATGGCTTTACATTTACAGTATCAAAATTAGGCCAATAAAGTGAATTTGACTTAAATGTTTTACCCAGTTACTTTTATTTATTGAAGTCCCCATGACATCAAGCATTGGATCTGAATACTGATTACAATATAGTTACATTCAGCCTCTCTTTGTATGATGACTTGCAATTGAATTTCACAGTTGAGTGAGTAACAAAGGAGGAGATAAGTAACTAGTCAATGAGAGGCTGTAGCCCAAACACTCAAATATTTCTCTTTACTGTTAAATGCTTTTATATCAATATTTTTCATTTTACAGTGTCTATTTGCTGTGTCTTCATAGTTTAATGCATGGGCAGTTTACTTATTTGAGTATTTATGTGGCAAAGGTGTGTCTTTAACCCTCAGCTTGAATTTGGCTCTGGGCAAGAAACCAAACTGCCCCGTCAGCCTAAACATGTCCTCAGAAGTCATTAGTTAAAAAGGGACATTTTTACAAAGACCTCAGGTGATTCTCATCACTGTATCTCTTGCTGTCTGTCTCCCACTACATTAACAGAAGATAGTCATCAGAAAATGTCTACTAAGTTTAATTATTGCAGAAATGCCACAATTATCAATGCTGTGGTGGCTTATTTACATACAGGCTGTTCCTTAAATTTGAGTTGTGGCCATAAATAAGTCACCTTTAAACAGTCAATTCTGCATGCTGTAGGGTTCCTAAAATCCTTACCTACATATTTAGGTAACGTAGGTAGGTAGATTCATGGTCTGTGTTGGCTTGATCAGCCATTTCCAATATGAAATGGTTTATATGTTTGTTTAAACAGTCACCTGTTGTTTGTATCATAAATGAATTGGTGTTGAAATGTCAGTCTTGTTTGGGAGCTTTGACATTTTAACCCCACTTTGATAAGCAATATCAAACTGGCTAATCATTCACAAAATAAGGTTCAGTGTGATCCCTAAATGCATTTGAACCAGTTGCTTGTGTACACTCAGTTAGTGGAGGACTTGGACCCCGACTTAGCTCTCTGGTTACAGCCACAGTCAGAAGTGATGACTGGGAGATTGCACAGTCAGTGTTTTGAGGGGAACTTTGCTTCTGTTGTATCAGCGCCCCAGAGGCTAAACAATACTTAGTCAAAAGGTCATAGTAGCAAGCAAATCCATTCACAAGACAGCGTGTGTGGAGTGGAGGCAGCAAACTAAAACAACACAATTGTGTTTCATGAAAATAGCCTCAGGCTGGTGGTATCAAATAACACTCTGTGGCCTAATAATAGTGGCCACATATGTCATGATTGAACCCCTCTTAATGACTGAGTGGTCATAAGTGCGCCCATTCATGCTGCAAGTGACCAGATCCTTTGGGCTCTCGTAACATTATCCTGTTTGCTGCTCTGATTATGTAACATCACTAACTTCACACAGATGCCACTCTGAAATTTATTTTAATGCCATAGTAGGTAGAATATATCTATACTAAGACATATTGAAAAGGCATGAAAGTGACCATATATTTGATTTTTCTCCTCAGGTCTCAGAGTCCTGTATCTTCTCTGAAGCTTTCTGCGCTGTGGTGACCCAGCATGTAGCAGAGGTGAACAAGTCCCTTCACACCTGTGAACAACAACGTAAGGACTTTTCAAATTGCATTTTCTATTGAAACAGCTCTGACAAGAGCTTCAGCGGTTATTTGATTTTCTTTGTCATCTCGAATGCCCTGGTGCAGATAGGGCTTATTTTGACCTGGGGTCACATTCATGCAATCTGGTGATGCCACCCACAAGCAGAGCCGGACCAACTGCTCACTAACACGAGCAGAATGGCCTCTCAAAAGCTGAGCGTAAACTCTTCTTCCTGGTCATCTTTTCTTTAAGTGCGTCCATCCGTGAAGCATAGTCACTGCAGCTGACCTGATCTACCTGAGTCACATCCGTCAGGTGACCAGGATGCTTTGTTTTAGGGATTTGTCTTGTGCAGGAGATGGCATGAGTGTTGTCCACCTCCGGCATAAGCAAGGTTAATGATAAATCTGTGAATGGGGGGTGAGGCGGGGGGTAAGGTCTCCAGAGCCTCTTCTGTCAAAACTGGAGCCCGAGGCTGCCTGTGTCCCTTTTGTTTCTGCGCAGCTCCTTCTTCCATCAGTTAAGAAATACTGTAGCTGTGTCTGTTAAGCTGCTTATCTCCCACAGAACAGTCGGGCTCTGTTAATCTAGTCTTTTGTCTGGGATGAAGGTTGTTAGGTAAACATAGCCACTGGAACCTGTCCAGGCGTGCACAGATTCACACCAGCGCTTTATTGACAAAATAAGAAGTTCCAAATGAGTTACTTGTATTTTGATACATCCTGTGAGTAAAACATTAGTTCTGGGCTTCACTGCCGTACCTAAGCATTTCTCATCTGTATAACTGTAAGTATAGATCCCCCAGAGGTTAATATTACACTGTGGATACATTCAGTTGTTGATGTTTAACAGCTGCTTTAGATTGTCCTGAAACAAGGAATGTGTTTCTCAGTGCGCTTCAGCCTGAACTTTGCAAGGACACAGACAGGAGGCACCTCAGGACATCTGAACCCCCCTGCACCAGTGTTCTGGATGTGTCTTTTATGGCTGCCTTGGATTTAAACCACATTTCCTGAGATGTTTTGACACATCACAAATGGGAGTTCTTCAATCGTGTGATAAAAGGGGTAGTTGGAGATAGCTCTTTTGGCTAATTTGGAAATCTTACGGCTGTCCTTTCTCCCCACTCTTTTTGTTTAGTTTTGAGGCCACATGCTTGGCTTTGTGTCCAGCTGCCTCCTGTCACCAAAGACTGGACAAAGTCAGGCCTGTGGGCGACCCTAGCAGATGTCCTACTGCGGACAGAGGGGCGAAGGGACACTGGTGGTAGGGCAGAAGACATCACTGACTGAACACAGGCAGCAAGAAGTCATTGGCCTTGGCTGTTCTTAGAGCCAATCTGTCTGAGAATGCGGAGTACAATTGGATAGTGGCTTCAGAAAATATAGCTGGAGGTTTGGGTTCAAAGCAGTTTCAAAATTCTACTAATCACATGTAAACTGATACAAAAGGATACCTTAATAGTAAATAATAATAATACTTTTTATTTGTTGCTCCCTTTTTAACACCCAAGGACCATGCAGTAAAAGCAGGGCAAAAACAGATTAACACCTGTCTGTTAGTGTTAAATAACAGTACAGGTAATGTAGGGCTTTATAGTGTGCTATTTTGAGATGATAAGATAATCCTTTATTGTCTCCCATGGGGAAAATTGTCTTAGGACAGGGCATCACATGCTTTAACACAAAGACAACACAGGAACATACAAACATCCATCATAGAACATAAATAAATAAGAGACCAAGTATGACCACGAGTGATACACCAAAAGGACCTTTAAGTCACTCTATACAGGCAATCCCTTCACAATTTTATATTCTCTTATACACTCCCTTGACCTATGTGCAGTTTTGATTGCACATTCCCTAAGCCTTTTAAATGTTATTTTTTTTTAACTGCACTCTCTGGGTTTAGCAGATTAATGGCTAATGGTACAAAAGAATGTTTGAATCTGTTGAGTTTACAGTTTGACAGCATCAACTCAAAATGACTTTGAACAACATGGGTTGGGTCACTGGCCATTGTCTTGCCTAGCTTCCTAACAGTCTCGTCAAAAATTTGCTCAAGTGAACTAGGTGCCATAACCATTATTTTACCCACTCGTTTAGTCATGGTAAAAAATTTTGATTTAAGATTGACTGGCAGGTTTCGTTCTGGTATGTCAACATGATTTGATGTTGACATACCATAACGTAAAATTGATTCTGTACATGCTCTGTAAACATCAGCATTACATTTTTATCCACTCCATGTAACCTAAGCCTTCTTAAAAAATATAGGTGCTGACTGATTCTTGAGCAGACAAATTGTACATGCTGGCTCCATTTGAGCTCATGTAATTGTGGCCGTGCATGCTTATCTAAAGCACTTCTTTCTCTCTATTTCTGTTTCTTTCCCTCCCTGTCTGTTTCTAACCTCACTCTCACAGGTAATAATCATGGGGAATTCATACGCGGGCCAGCTGAAGTCTGCCCGGTTTGAAGAGGCTCTCCATAACTCTATTGAGGCCTCACTGAGATCGACCAGTGGAGACCCACAGCCCATCTTCACGCAGCTATACCTCGAGCCCGAGCCGTATCCTGGAAACGTGGAGGGTAAATACACACTCCATTTAAACAGTAATGGGGACTGGTCATATGAGGCTAGCTTACTTCACTGAGTTTATTACGCATCCTCTCTTTCTTCTAATATGGCTGAAACTGTAGTACTCGACTAGTCAGTGATTATTTTTGCAATATCACAACTACTTTTAGAATTATTTTTATTGTGCATTGAGATTTTTAAATACATTTTTAACCAAATAAACGTTGAAATATGGTGATCGAAGACCTCTAGATTTAATCATTTTGATTTAATAATGTGACTGTCATTGTTATATGATGACTTTTGGCATGTGTTTTAGAATTAGTATAGTCCAGTTAATGATAAAGATGATCCAAATACAGTGGTGATATTCATTTTAATAGTTCACTTGTCACAATTATTCTGACAAATATTTGCAGCACGACTATCTAATAGCAGAATAGCAATGCAAGTCTTAAGTATGTCCCCATTTTGAATTTACTTCCGGTGTTGTTGCAGAAAAGCATTGGCTGTATAGTGTTTGATTATACAGCGGTTTATTCTGGTTTATTCTGGTCTATTCTAGCTAGGGTTCCAGCTTTTTCTCTTCTGATACCGACTTCAATACTATGGCTGTAAGAATCTGCCGATATCCAATATCTACTGACAAATGCCAGTGCAGAGACAGACAACAGCATTGACTTCTTTAAAACAAAAATTAAATCTGACAAAACTTATCCAAATGTATAATTTAACTGTTATTTATCCCTCAAGTGTCTACAGAACAGCTGTTCTGTTTTAAATTAAAGCCTAACTAAGCCTAAACCCTTTGAGATTTTCTGGGCAACTATGACCAGTAAATAGTGTTGTTGGCTGAACCAATATTTGGAAGCCGAGGTCCAAACATTTTTTCCAGTACTGGCGTTGATATTCGATATTGGTATCGGTGCATCCCTTTCGTGGTCTATTCTATACCTCTCAAAAGACAAATATGTTAATGACATTGGGTCATAAATTGGTGATTGCAAAGACTTCTTAAGATAGTGCTAGAGGATCACTACAGTTTCTGCATTTCAAATCTTTTTGTAATTTGATTATTTTTAAGTGCTCAAAAATATGCATTTGTAGGTCACTTTTTAGTCTTGCAGAGTATTTTGTAATCCAAGGTTATAGGTATGAGTTAGTTTATGTTTTGTCTTTGGTACAGATATTTTATCTCTCAAAAAATAGTACTCCAAAAGAAATTTTAATATTTTGTTTGTGAAAAGTTTAAGAAAAAACATATTATATGTAGAAATTCCCTAAAACTCTCCCAATCTTTTCATTAGACATAAAACCTAAAAATGAACTGAATGGGGCAGAGACACCAAACCATGATACGAACGGTCACTCCTCAAATGACATGGAAGACATGGACGATGACGATGATTCAGACAGCAGCAGCCCCCCTCTGCCATACCTCCAGGTCCCTCCCCCTGACGGCTGCTGCACTTTGGATGGTAAGATCCCAGTTTGAATGGTCACTATTAACAAATCACCAAGACTGCAATTATTTAAGATATTTTTTTCTGCAAAACAAAAAAAGTGTCTGATTATGTTTTAAACCTAGTAACCATCATATTTCAATCTTCTGTCTTCTCTCAAATGTTTATGCTCTCAAGTGTTTAAAGTTAGTGCTCTGGACAGAATTCTACTGTTAAAATATAAATTGCAAATCTAATTGTAGTTGCACTACTTGTAAGATATGTGTAATAATCATTCACCCTGTTCATTATTTCAAATATTGTTGTTCTATATAGTGAAGTTGGAACCATGAAGTTTCTTTCTTCAAATAGGTTTCACCTCAGTGACTAAAAGCAATCTATACAGAATCACAGCATCTGCTTAAAGTCAATTGTTAATGTGTAAAAGGTTAAAGAGACACTATGAGACTTTTCAGGTGTGGGGTAATTACATGCTCATGTAGAAAAGCAGGTGACAGACCCTTCTCCAGAAATGCTATATGGTGCACCTTTAAAGACAATGAACAAAATTATTTAACTTTCAAACCACAGTTTTTTTATTTCTTCTATCACATTTGTCTAACTGAAAAACAACCTATCTCCTCAGGTTTCTGTCAAGCCGGTAAGGACCTCCGCCTGGTTTCCATAGCAACAGAGCCCATAGATGTCCCGGCGGGGTTTGAGCTGGTCGGTGCCAAGTCCCCGAGTGTCCCGGAGCACATCCTGGTGTGTGCCGTGGACCGCCGCTTCCTGCCTGATGAGAATGGGAAAAATGCACTTTTAGGTCAGTGTGTTCCTAACTGTGATAACAAATAATAAGACAGATAGCAATTGAGTTTATTTTAAGATTCTGGTGGAAAAGCATGAAGGATTCTGTTAAGTTGTGTTGTGAGCAGAGAAGCACAGAAGTGAGTAGTTAAAGCTTGGGTGAAGTAACATTAAATAAAATTGTGACCTGCCAATCTCGACAGATAGTTGTGATTCAGTGCTTTTTACAATGCAGCATGTTCTAACACAGACACATACCATCTACTTTTCCATATACACTACTCCTCTTGGTCAGCCATTGCCATTGGTCAGTCATGCTCTCACGGAGTGACAGTCGAATAAGTATCTAAAACTTTCAAACTATTCTTGCAAGTAAACTAAAATGAAATTAAAATATATGAATGTCACCTCTTTCACCTCTCATCTCTGGCATTATAGCGCTAACTTAACAAGCCTTCTTGTGATAGTGAGGGCTACACCAATAACTGTGTTTTCTGATTTTAATTGTTTATTAACTAATGCTTTTGTTTGCTTTTTTAAAATAGGTTTTTCAGGAAACTGTGTTGGCTGTGGAGAGAAAGGTTTCCGATATTTCACAGAGTTTTCAAACCACATAAATTTGAAGTTATCTACGCAACCCAAAAAGCAGAAGCACTTAAAATACTACCTGGTGAAGAACTCACAGGGTGCTCTGACAAAAGGTCCCCTTATTTGCTGGAAAGGTAAATTGATATCTTTTATTTTTGAAACTGCTTTATTTCTAAATTAGTGCTGGTGGTAAGGTGAATGTAACAGCTACTGCAAAATATTTAGATGTTTGTAACAAATTGATTCTTATGTGAATTCAAAATACTAACCTAGACTAACCTCTCCCACTAAAAGAAAAAAAAAAACATCTTTACCCTTTACTTTTGTAAGCCTGGATCAGTTTCCCTTGGTGGTTCCCTTCATGTATGAGCACTTTACATTTATTGTTACTAGCTATAACCAGCTCCTTGGTCGAAGTTTACTCTCAGATGTAATTTATTTGTGGCACCTTTCACACGTTACTAAATCATATTTTTTTTAAACTTCAGTATTTGTTACTACAATGTGCATAAATTATTAATCACTTTCACTTCCATGCTTGTTTAGACTGTAAAACTCGCCAGTTCTCCAGCAGCGTGTCCACATCCAAACCCAGCTCAGCCTCTTCTTTGAGCAGTAAAGAAAATGGAGGCACCAGTGGACACAGCTCCTCCCCCTATTCACTGTCAGGTAAGGACAGACACATGGTCTTATACCAGCTCTGTGTAAATGCTAAATATTGCATTATACTGTCTTTTACTTGTGCATGATTTTTTAAATGAGTTTAGTTAATTCGAGAATGTCAAAATATGAATGGGCAAGATTAGATATATTCTATGAATCTACTGTTAAATAGATTTTGTGTTAAGTTAGAATAAGATATTGATGACTTTCAGATACTTGAACGTGATGATATTCATACATTCATTACATGGTAGTTTTATGAGAAATATCCTAAAGAAAAATCCACAATTATTGAAGCGGATCACTTGTATTAGTCCTAGTCTAGTACATCAACATTCCCACAAAATCGATCTGCGAATCAATATTAATAATTTTTCCAGTGAGCATCTAGATTAAATAATACAATATTTTGATCTTGTGGTCATATGAAATGCAGCGATTACCCATGTTTGCATATTTATAACAGGTAATCTGTAATAGCCGATGGCCGTCGATGTTCAGTACAAACACATGATCTATGTTTAAGAACTTTTAATCTTCACAGCTTTTTAAATTACCACTATTATCTCCACGAACATAATGAAAAAGCTCCTTTAATATATTGGGCTTAAAGAGCATTTTTCTGTGCCTGGAAAAGCTCCATGGCTTATATACTATTGATTATTTTTCAAACCCAAAAGCCAGCAGTCGGTGCTCTCATCACACGTTAATGTTAGGCAGCTGTGTCGCCAAGCTCCCGTTTGGCATAATTCATTCCCAGAATCTCCCTGACGACGACCTACAAGTGCGTTCTGCTCCCGAAGAGGTCAGTGAGACTCAGCAGCTATTATTTACAGGCCATTTCTTGTGTTTTTTTACTTCCAGATTCTCCTCCAGCGAGACAAGCACAACCTCCGTCAGCCTTTTACAGTCAGGACCTGAGCCGAGAGAGCAGCTTCATCAAACCCCTCACTTCCACACCAGGGAACAAGACTCTGCCCATAGGTAATAATGATATACTAGTGCCATATAATCTTAATGGTATTATCAAATTTTTTGATAGATTAAAATTTCATTGATATCAAACTCAAAGCATTAAAGGTGCACTATGTTAACTTTTTCAATGAAGGGACTGCCACATGCTTGTCTCTATGGAGATGTTGTTACTGCTTTGCCTGGAATAATAACAATAATGTATTAGTCTTCTCTAACACTTCATGGATTACTCATTCACTCCACACTTGGTGGGGATAAGTTACTTCTGCAACCGCAACTGCTCTGGGTTTCAGCAACCAATTAAATATATGTATTTTACATTTATTACTTTACACGTTTTTATTGCCCAAAAATACATTGTGTGTAGGGGTGCCTCTCCACAGATTTGACCAATAACTTGGCCTGGTGACTTTATCTGCTTGTCTCCATGGAAATGGCTTAATTGAGTGCCATACTATACATTGTACATTCTCAGCAAAGCGATTTCGTCACAATAAACGTTACACAGTGCACCTTAAAAGTTGAATTGGCTTAGGTTGTCATATCTTTTGTTCAAGGAACAAGTATATTTTCAAGTATTTGGGGTAAACTGGGAAATGCGAGTGTTGATTTTCTAATGGAAATTCATAGATTTTTATTTTTTTTTTTTGTAACAAAAGTCAATTGATTATTATTAACAGAATATAAGGGGATGCTGCAGGTTGGATCTTTTACTTGTCTGTGACATGCCCTTGTCTCTGTTGTGAAAAGCCTTAGTTACATGTGTTATATAATGCTCTGGACACAACTCATGGAACTGACCATGAAGCTGAAATCACTATGGGTGCACACGAATGACAGCCTTCCACATATCCCTTTTGTGTGTGCACTTGTATTAGCACATCAATCAATACTCAAGGAAGGAATGCTGTAATGACTTTTTAAGGCCTTGCTACCCATTGGCCTCTTCACAAGGTTGTGATATTGACAAGCAAAGGCTATAGAAACTAATCAATATCTTAGTGTATTGCGTCCACACTGGCTATAGAATTTATGAATGTCAAATTAGATCATGTGAAAAAAATGCTGCCCAAGGCTCTGAATCCTAAAATTGCCTTTCATTCCACAGTTTGCTTTAAACAAATGAAATGGATTTTTTTCCTTCTGAATACAAACAATATATACATTTTAAGTACCATTTAACACAAAAACCAGAAATTCAAAGACAACTGCACTACACTATATGGTTTTACTGATTGGGGATTGGCTGTGGACTTCTCCATTAAAAAGATCCAAGCATATCATTGACAATTAGAAAGTTTGTGTTTGAGCATAGTGCTGCATTAAGTAGAATAGCACTGACTTTGTTGTATTGCCCACCCTTAGTTTGCATGTTATTTATACAAAGATTATTGGCAGTGCATTCTGTCCCTGGTCATGGTTAAAGTAATCTTAATATGACTTTTTTTTTGGCCCAGTCCCAACTGCTTTGAGGGTCAATGCACCAACTAACAGCCTGGTAGATGCCCACACACCCCTGCTCAGCCCCTCCTCTGTGTCGCTCCGGAATCAGGGGCAGGTGTACCGCCCCACAGATCTTGGGGATAGTCCGGGTAAGAATACAATAAAATATCAAGTCATTGTAGTGTTTTAGTTATAATTCCGCCAGATCCTCATCTATCTTAAAATACTTTTTCTTTCCCTTCCAGTATCCTCTGCCATGAACAGTGGACCCCCCAAGAAGCGCCATCGCAGTTGGCACCCGTCACACCCCAGCACCCTGGTCCCTGTCCCACCCACAGCTGTCCCCGTGCCCGCTATTCGACCCATCGTCTGCTCTCCAGGTCAGTCTTGAACCCATTACAGTTAGTCTTCAGTTGTGTAAGCTTTGCCTTCATTTCACCTTCTTATGTCATTTACTCACCTCTAAGCTCATTTCAGTCTGGAGCACATATGGCATTGTCTCTCAGTGGACATTGTTTAAAATGGAGAAAGACCCGTGTTTGATTAGTTTTGTGTTTAAGTTGTTGGAAATTATTTTGCACACATGTCCATGATAATGCTGATAGAAGACTTATAACTGAAATTAGAAAATAGCCCATTCACTGTAACTGTTGTTGTATGTTCTCTCCTTCCAAACTTACTGTCTTCTCTTACATTTATATTACATTTTAAATTTTGAATTATAATTAGGAGTGGGCAATGTTGAGAAAATATCTCACTGATGCTTTGGTGTATCCTGAAAACAAAAGAAAGGTGTTAAAACATATTTTTAAATGTTGTAGAGATTAGTAAAAAATCTTGACATTTAAAATTTTAATCAGTTTTTTTGTAGCATCTTTTATTGTAAAATTATATTTATTTGAACTTTGCACATCTTCAAAACCACATTCACACTATTATTCACATTATTTATTACCTAATGCCTTTATGCTTTGAGCTTGTCTGTTTTAATCAGTGACCATAAACACTACTACTTCTTTTACTTCTTAACAGTTATGACAGTATCAGTGCCTCAGCCACCAGCTCCTGCAGTTATTCAGCCCCAGCCTGTGACTGCCGGGGAAACTGTCATTGTTCCTGACAACCTCCTAAACTCTTCAGGAGTTCGCCCTGTCATTCTCATCGGTACAGCATTTACACTACAACTTACTTAAAGATACACTGTGTAACATTTCTGGCAGATGGTCTGCCAGCAGCTAATGTTCATGAGGTATTAGTGCCTGGAATGTTTCATAGTATGTTTTATTAAACCAGTCGATCTTCATGATATAAGCAAATGACACCACCAGGCAAAGTTACAAGTCAGATCTGTGAAGAGGTTACGCTGGTCACAATAAAAATACATGTGTTTTTAGCCGTTTTTAAGAAATAAGTCTTTCAGTAAGACGTTCTAACAGTGAAATTCTGTGGTGACCCTCCACTGTATGGTGTGCTTTTATATTTTACAGTTTGAACTATTTATTTGTTATTTATACTTTTTTTTTTGCAGGGCATGGCACTTTACCTTATTTCTATGGAAATGTGGGCGACATCGTGGTGAGCCCCCTGCTGACCAGTTGCTATAAAAGCAACCAGTTAACTGAAAAGAACCTGGAGCTTTTAGGCCTCAGCAGCAGCCAACTCCTCAGTGTGGAAACAATGATTTTACTCACGTTACAGTACCTAGCACGCTTAGGTAAGCAACTGATTTAAATTTGATTTATTAACACAAATTATATTACTTATTATTCAGTTCAGACAGATTGGCTTATTTGTACACATTTATATATTAGCTATGTAGCTATGTAAAGTCATATAAATAATTTAATATTACAAAGTTATTTCATCTTGACGTTGCAATGATGTACCTGTCTTTTAAGATACTAAACCTTCCATGATTCAACACTTTTTAAATTTGAAATTTAAAAGTGAGTTTTGAGTCTATACCAAGAAATTTGATTTTTGACGCAGTTGTATTTTACTATGTCAGCATTTTAGTTTCATTGGTTGTTTACTCTATTAAGCTTTTTATATTGCTGTATCAATACACATTTGCAATTGTCTTGATGCTGTTCATTTAGGTCCTCATCAGATTCCCCTGAGAGAGGAGTTGGAGCAGATTGTATTGAAGGCTATGCTGTGCTGTCCTGGAGGTCCTGCTATTGTCCCAGCTCAACTGCCCTGGCTGGCTCGACTTGAGGCCAGTGTCTCTGGTGGAAGCGTTCAAGTTGTGGTTACCCATAATTCCTTGGGAGAGGGTATTTCAGAGTCACTGCGAACTCTCAGTGAAGGACCACTCCACCAGTGCCTGCCCATCTATGTAGTCATTGTATGTGCCTCCAAAATGAGCGGCAGCGAGTTTTGTGTACTTGTTTTAGGTAAACAGCTGTGAATTTTTTATCTTCAAGGAAAATTTCCTATTCAAATGTCTAAATCAAATGTAATTACCACAGGAAAATATCAAGCCCGGGCTTTAGCTGAAGGCATGCTGACAACTAATGAGTTTTTGAAGGAAATCAGTTATGAGCTCATCACAGGCAAAGTCAGTGTACTGGCGTCTCACTTCAAAACTACATCTCTTGGTGAGTGGATGATGAAACAAAATATTTAACTGTGACTGAGTTTATAGATATTTATATGTAAATGCTCATTCATGTTTTCTCTTATGTGTGACTGTTGTGCCTGCTGTTTCAGGGGACAATTTGGACAAACAGTTGGTGCGATATCAGCGTCGGCAGAAGGGGCAAGGTGCCCCAGCGTGTCAGGGTGATATGACTGACCACATCCACTCTCAGGAGGTAGCCAGCATGTCGCCCCACTCCGACAAAGGTTAGACTGCCCCAGGCTGTTTAAACAGATACCACTTTATATACAGACATGCAGTTCTCTACGCCTTTAGACTTTTAAATATATTAATCTGCTGATAAAGTCTCAGTTGATCAATTGTTTTATTAGTGAACGAATGATTTTATTATAATTCTAAGAATGTATATGAACCAGACCAGAGAGGACAAAGCACGGAGTGCGTCATCTGGAGTGACTGCACAGATAAATGTGCATTTAATAGTATATAAAAACTAGTAACTAGCAAGATCCTGACAATTTTGAGAGATTTTGCCAACACGATGCCATGCCTCCATTTAATCAATTAATTAATAGATGCACATTATCTTGATCTTTAAGGCTGCACACACAGGAGAATTTGCCCAATTTAGGCTGCTATTTGCTTTTCCCCGAGTTCGGAGAGGCATGACCCGACTTTGGGGCTTTGTGTGCAATTTTAATACTGCTGCACTCCTCATGGGTGTGGTGTCAATGTGACTCTGAGCTGCTCTGTCAGGTCGTAACCACCAAAGATCAGCAACGCTACAATAACAGCCAAAAAAACAGAGCGTCAAGGACAAACAGAGTGACGGACACAAAAGTGTAAGATTAGGCTGACCAGAATTTCAAAATCAAAAACTGGGACACTCTCGGTTTGGGGTCATTGGTAATAATAAAATTGTGAAACGAGTTTGTAATGAAAATTGTTATGCACATGGTGAGTCAGTATTATCACTTTTTCTGTGTGTTTTTGGTAATTTTTAAGCTTTACTGAAACAAATGACAATTTATGCTTCTCTTCACTGTTGGTTGGTATCAAATTTGTCAAACACCTGGGACATTTCTTGTATAAAACTGGGACAAATCAGTAGTTTTGAATAAATCTTGTGGGACAGGGGACACAGGGCTCAAAACTGGGACTGTCCGGGGTAAATAGTCTTGTCACCATACACAAGATACAAACTCGGGAAATAGCAAAGATAATTATTACTTACCTCTCGAAAAATTATAAATTTAAACTGCAGCATCTCATCTACATTATCCATTAGAACTCATCTGCTTATAATCACACCCAGTTCAGAAAACTGCGCTGTTAATCCAGTTTGAAGCATTCTTTAAAAATAAAAAGGTGAGAGTAGTTCCTCATGTTTTTTTACATCCACACATTGCACGGATCGAGGTGAAGCTGCAGATTAGCAATAGCTTTACTTTACTTCCTCTGTACTTTGTCACCAACCTTCTCTGCATTAAAAAATTTGTTATCTGAAGTATTGCACCACATTTCAGAAATAATAATGACACATCCCATATCCCACTGCAGTCTTTGCGATTGGAGATTTAAAATCTCATAAAATTCTCCTCCTGTCTGTGGTGTGTGCATTTTGTCACACGTTTAAAAATCCTTTAAGACTGAAAAAGTCTGTGGTGTGTGGTGGCCTTAAATTGACCAAGACATTTTTCCTTTGTCTGTCCAACAGAAGACGTTTTAAACAAGATTTTCCAGATCTATCCAACTCAACTGAGAGTGGCACGCAGCCTCTTATCTCAAGTTTGTTCCATCGCTGACTCAGGGACACAGAACCTTGATCTGGGAAGGTTTTGTAAAGTTGACTTTCTTATTTTGGTCCCACCTTCTCATATCTTGGTACAGCAGACGGCACAGCGGATCCGACAATCAGGTACAAGGACTTTTTGTTTTCCATTTTTTCCTTCAAACTATAATGTTCTAGGTCATTGGCTTGGACTCAAGGATGAATTGTGCACCAACCCTATTTGTTTTCACTAGGTGTGCTTGTAGACCTTGGAGTTGAAGAAAGCTCTCAAGCCAATCAGAAATCAGACAAGTATGTGGTGCGCCTGGACGGTGACGTTCATGCCAAAATGGAGGCATTCATGAGGAAAGTCAAACAGAACCCCTACACCCTGTTTGTCCTCATTCATGACAACTCACACGTTGATCTCACAAGGTAAAATACTGCTGTGTCTAGAGTAAGATAAGATGTCTGGAGAGTTTTTGAAACATTGTTTTTGAAGACAGCCACCACTGCATAATATTTTCATAATACATTAAAATATATTTCTACTTGTTTTAATGGAATTCTTTTGAGGAAGACTAAATATATTTGTGAATATTATGTAGTGAAGTTGACCCCGTTGTGTTAGTGCTTGTTTGTTAATCTGGTACACTGTGTTCTGCAGTGCTCTTTCAGGCTCTGTGTGCCATGGGGAGTTGCAAGGTTTGGCTGACCGAGTGGTGAACTGTCCTGAGGTCCTCACAGCCATGAACCTGCTGGTGTTGCAGGTCAGCTGTTTCCCATACACTCTACAGACGCATCAGTCACGCATCAGCATTCACAACGAGGTGCACTGGCCCACCAACGAAAGCCTAGTGAGAAGATTTTCATACTCACCTCTGCTATACTCTGTTGAAACTGATTCATTATAAACGTATAATCTACTGGTCCAGCAGGGAGAACGGTTGCCAAAGGATTTGCTCTACTTTGGTTTGAGTGACTACAGCAAGTCCCTCCAATGGGGTGTGGCCAGTCCAATTCTACGCTGTGATGATGCTTTCGAGAAGATGGTTCATACCCTCCTAGAAAGGTAAATGTATATTGTGCTTGTCTAAATAAACAGATACATGTTTGGGGTTCTCGCTAATAAATAAACTCCTTGATCACTTCCTCAGACACCCCCACCTGCACAGTATGGTGATCCGCAGTTACCTGCTGATTCAGCAGTACACTGAAGCCATGATGGCCCTCACGTCGTCCCCCTCTCTGCGAGACCACATTACCCCAGAGACCCTGGCCATGGTGGAGGACCTGATCAACGCCCCCAGCAGAGAAGGGTCACAGGGCCGGGGGCATATGCTACTGGTGAGGGTGCCCTCTCTGCAGCTGGCCATGCTGGCCCGTGAGCGTCTGGAGGACGTCCGAGACAAACTGGGGCTGTCTTTGTGCTTCGCTGTGCTGTTAGGGAGTCCAGCCTCTGAGCTCAGCCTGCCCAAAGTGTTCACCAACCGCCTCAAGGTCAGAGCTCAGGGAGAAAAACAAATGTGTTTTTAAAGTTTTTAAAGTCTACAATAAGTTTGAATGTTAACATTTACAAATACAAGGAAATAATTGGGTTTCTAATGTGCTTATGTATTTTGTTCTATAGGCATGGAGACGGTGTGAAAATGAAGACTGGACCCCAAAAACCTATGAGGATCTTGAGGGACTCCCTTGTATTGTTATTCTAACAGGCAAGGACCCACTTGGAGAAACATTCCCCAGGTAGCTACATTTATTTTAACTGAAAATGAAAAAGGTGTTTGATGAAACTTTATTGGTCTGATCCTGTAACGTTTTTTATTTATTTATTTTTTCTTGAAAAAATAAATAAATAAATAAAATAAATATATATATATATATATATAATATATATATATATATATATATATATATATATATATATATATATATATATATATATATATATATATATATATATATAGTCATATTAATTATGTTCCATTGTGTCTCCTTAGGTCCTTGAAATACTGTGATCTTCGCCTGATAGACTCAAGCTACCTGTCCCGTACAGCTTTGGAGCAGGAGGTGGGCCTGGCCTGTACCTATGTGTCCTCTAGAGTAGTGCGGGATCCTAAAAAAGCTATGACCTCTGGATTTGATGGAGAGAAAGGTCCCACTCACGACGGAGAAGAGCTGGAGCGACCACAGAGTAATGGCAGTGCAAATACAAGAGCGTCTGGTTAGTGATTTGTTAGTATTATAGAAAAGGTTTTGTTCATATGACGGTGATCCTAAAAACAGTTTAAATATTGGTGAATTATATAGTAGTTTGGGCCTTCAGTACAAATTGACTATTTAATTGTAATTATACAGCATATACACTGTGGACCCAGTCACTGAAAGTAATTTTGCAATATTTGTGGATTTTCTGGGGATATAGAGCATAGTTGCTTATCTAACCATTTTTACATTCATCTGAGATTTTCATAAAATAATTTACAACAGGAATATACTCTTTTCAAATTTGAATCTGAAAATACATATTTGAATCTTGTCTGTGCTACACTCAGGTTCTCTGGTGGAAAATGGAGTCAGTTCTTCAGATAACACAGACACTTTTCCGAAGGCCTCAACGTCTCACTGTGCCGTGGACTGTGGGCCTTCCGAAGTAAACACAATGGAGATGGGCTCTCAAACTGTGTTCAAACAAGAGTGCGATTCTCCCGGGAGCCATGTTCACTCCAAAGACTCCAAAACACCTCCATCCTTCTACTCGTCCTCCTCTACCTCTTCCTCTCCCTCCTCTTCTTCCACTCAAAGACCCAGCCAGTCGACCCAATGTGGACGCCCGAACAAACCCACTAGAGTGTTACCTCGTACCGTCATCATGTCCCGGGCTGCCTACAACCTGCTTTCGAGTGAGTCTGTTAGCCAACTCAGCTCCTTCTCTCTTCTGCCCCATGCGGATGTGACCTGGAGCAGCCCGCTAAGACCACTCATCACCCCCAATCTGCAGGGGGCAGAGCAGAGCATGTACTACAGACAGTGGACCACAGCCAGGCAGCATCATGCAGATCATGAAGCCCCCGCAGTGCCGCATCCAAGACGACTGCTGCTAAGCGGGCCACCACAGGTATTAGATAAATAATATTTATATTGGAAATGAAAAACTTTACAATTTAATTGATTAAACTAAACTATTTGGACACAATACTGAGAAAATACAATAATAAAAACAATTCTTAAAGGAGTACTAAGGCACATTTCTGGTTGAAGGTCCATCACCTGCCTGTCTCCATGGAGATGTTATTGCTTTGCTGGTTTGTTTCACAGTACAGCAAGCAATTGGCACCACCAAGCAAAGTTACAGGACAGATCTGTGGATAGGAGACATTGCTCACAGTAAATGTGTATTTTTTAATGCATTTTTTACACAAAAAAGTAATATAGTTTATTGCCATACTGTGTAACTTTCCAGGCAAAGCAATAAGATGGAGAGAAACTGGTGGTATAATAATTATAATAAGAGTAGAAGAAACAGAGGTGGTGTGTAGACATGCAGAGGAAAGATGATTAAGATGATTAATCTATCACCAGCAAATTTCTGCAATGCCTTTTTTAAATCCTTTCATTTTGTTACAGGTGGGTAAAACTGGTGCATACCTGCAGTTTCTCCGAATCCTATTTAAGATGCTTATCAGACTCTTGGAGGTGGACGTGTACGATGAGAATGAAGTTGAGGATGAAGAAGGTCAGTAGTGAAAGCAGTGAAAAATTTGTTGCAAAAATCAAGAATCAGATTAAAATAATAGTATTTTTTACAGAAATACCTGTTACAATTCCTGGGAACAGAATGTGGCCTGACATTGAAGATATTCGCAAACTGTCCTTTGATTCTTTTCCACATGACCCTAAGTTTAAGAAGGCTAGTCCTGTTTACTCAGAGAAGATGCCAAAGTGCTTAACAGGTTGGAAGAAATAAGTCCATCATTAAATACCTGTAATGATGGGTCAAGTGATTGTTTAGACATTTAAGCTGGCCAATAATTAACATTAAATTATATTTTTGAACAGATGCAAAACAAGATGGAGAGCTGCCAGTCGAAAGAAAGACCACATCAATTCGTTTGAGCCAGTTTGCAGCTCATAATGCATTTCATCATTGTGAGCAGTGCCACCACTACTGTGAAGCAAGCCCTTCCTCTCAGGTAAGAAACAAATAAAAAATAATATATATAAACAAAAACAAAAAGTGAAGGTTGCGTTGTAAAATATATACATAATTATATTTAATGCATTGTATACATGTATAAAGTAATATGGAAGTTTCAACATGACTGTTATAGTATATACTGTAATATTTGTTTATTTATTTATATTCTAAATTCTAATCCAACTTATATTTGTGATGAATGGCTTGAACCTCGTGTTTCTATGATGATAATAATGTTGGTCTGTGTTTTATGTGCAGTTGTCCGAGTGTATTTTCCACGCCTTCACCTTTAGCTCGTCCATGCTGGGAGAGGAGGTCCAGCTTCAGTTTGTCATTCCCAAATCCAAGGAGCAGCACTTTGTCTTCAGTCAGCAGGGCAGTCACCTGGAGAGCATGCGCCTGCCTCTCATCTCCAGCAAGGTAACAACAAATAAAGTAGCCTTATGTTTAGGAAAAAAACATGGGTACCTCATAGTTTTATGCTTTTATTTTTTTGACAAATATTAAAGATGTAATATGTAACTCTTCTAGTGGAGAGTTTGTCATCTTCTTGTCTCTATGGCATTGTTTTTGCTTTGCCTGGAATGATCAACAGTATGGGATTAAACTTCAGGTTACAGGTCAGTCAAGTTATGTCACTGGCAATAAAAACACGTTACAAGTCCTTGAACAAATGCAAGATAGACAAGGTTAATACCATACTGTGGAACATGCCAGGCAAAATAATACTATGTCCATTAATGGTGGTGTACCCATAATAATAGTGTTAACAGTGTATCTTGTAAGAGACAAAATGAATTTGATATTTTTGTGTTTGACTCAAGGACCTGGACCTGCTGAAAAGTCCCATATTTACCCCAACTACGGGACGTCAGGAGCACGGTCTTCTGAATCTTTTCCATGCGATGGAGGGCACCAACCATCTGCACATTCTGGTGGTGAAGCATTTTGAAATGGCCTTGTACCGAAAGTACTGGCCCAACCACATCCTGCTTGTCCTGCCCGCTATGTTCAACAACTCTGGAGTGGGTAAGTGACATCTATGCAGCACAAGACTAAATACTATAGTTTCCCACTCATGCACAAGTTCTACAATAGGTTAAAGTTCAAATGTGGTGACTTTTGCATGTATATAACAGACAAATAAGCAATGTGTGTTCACAAGTACCAGGGAGTTAGGCTTGTACTGTTTGTGTGTCTGAAATAAGAGTGTTGAACAAAAAAGCAAAGACATGCTAGAGAAAAGTCTGAAAAAATTACTTACTGCTTCACACAGTAATAAAATAAACTGTTGCTTCTGTTTTAGGTGCTGCACGTTTTATGATCAAAGAGCTGTCGTACCATAATCTGGAGCTGGAGAGGAATCGTCTGGAGGAGCAGGGTGTGAAGAGGCAGGACGTGTGGCCTTTCATCGTCATGATGGATGACTCGTGTGTGCTGTGGAACGCCCACCAGCCCGCTGACACCAGGTGAGCACAACATACACACATACTACTATTAAAAGATTTACTGTAGACATGTTCATGAACCTCTGTTATAGACAAGTTATTTTATTTCGCTTGTCATAATTTGTCTATTTTTTGCTGTGCCTTGTGTATTTTAGTGAAACACCAGAAGGAGGATCAGTTTTGACAAACCTGTCTCTGAAGTCGGTGCTGCAGCATATGGAGAACACCCCGAAAATCTCCCTGTACGCCCTGTGCGGGACCAGGAAGTGGAGCAGTTGTCTGTCCCTTCGAGCCCCCCTTAGCCCTTTCAGCCGCAGCCACCTCCACGATTTTGTGCTGCTCAATGTCGACCTGACACAGAACGTACAGTACGACCTTAACCGGTGAGTCTGTCTAATATTGCCTTCTTCTGTAACACTTTTGTCCTTTTAACACTAAATGTGTGTGTTTGTGTGTGTGCCTATAGGTACAGCTGTGAGGAGGTGGACTTTAATCTGAGAGTGAACAGCAGCGGGCTGCTGCTCTGTCGCTTCAACAACTTTAGCCTCATGAAGAAACACATTCCAGTTGGGGGGAACAAGGACTTCCTTGTCAAACCCAAACTTGTGGTAAATTATTGCTTGAATAGTTTTCTAATTAATAATTACAAATTTAAATAATTAAATAATTAATTGGTTATTATTATTTTCAAATGAGAATGAGATTCATTGTCTCTTCCTGTTCAGGAGATGGAAAACCCAGCCCTCATCAGCCCATCGCAGTACGTGTGTGCCCCTGACAGTGAGCAGACACTGCTGGACGCTCCGGCACAGTTCCTGTTGGAGAAATTCCTCCAGAGCTGCAGCCACAGACTGTTCCCCATGGCCATTCACAACAAGACCAACCCCGTCCTGTCCATTGACAGCTACCTGAACATCGGCCCCAAGGTATTCACTCGTCCAGGAATATTTTCTACAATCTTGATGTCAGATGCATAACCACAGATGGTTCTTAATACTATATTCTTGATTTTGTTATTTCTTAAGTAAATTACTGCTCCATGATTTTAATCTCACATTATGTTTTGCCTCAGATTTCTGTGTGTTACATCAACTCTCGTCCACACTCCACCAACCTGAACCATCAGGGCCTGATCTTCAGTGGGCTTCTGCTGTACCTCAGTGACTCCTTTGTTGTCTCTGGGCTTCTCAAGAAATTTCACTTCCTGAAAGGTGACCAAACAGTGCTTGTACTTTACTTTATAACTTTACTTGGCTGTAATATTTTAAGATAACAGCACTCGCTCTATAGTTCAGTGTTAATAATAAGATTTTTCATTGTACAGAATAATGAACCTTGTCACTTTGACAAGACAAGAACATTTAAGGATTTTCTTTTTCTATCCATAAATTTCAGAACAATGAAAAATTACATCAGTTATCATAACAATTAACAAAAAAATAACTTGTTTGAATAGAAAAAAGTCCTCAAAATATCACTTATAACCGGATGCTGAAAGCCATGTGTATTATTACATTATATTTTCAATTATTCCATTGTCTATTATCTCATCTGAAAATATAATATTCAGTTCATATTTTAGCTTGCTTGTTGTTGAATGCCTCCAGGTGCGACTCTGTGTGTGATCTGCCAGGACCGGAGCTCTCTGCGTCAGACCATTGTTCGACTGGAGCTGGAGGACGAGTGGCAATTCAGGCTCCGAGATGAGTTTCAAACGGCCAACTGCAGTGAGGACCGGCCCCTGTTCTTTTTAACAGGACGCCATGTTTGAATATTGGTACTAAGAATCGCCAATTTTCAGTCAAAGTTTCCAAAAAGACTGCAAGTGTTTCTATGCATGGACTGGCTAGCATGCATTGGCTGACTGTTGCAAGAAGCTGGACACAAGTATAGCTCTAATTATACAGACTCTCTCATGATAGAGCACCACTACAATTACAGCTTTGTTCCTGTATGTCATGCAAACAAAGCCTCTAAAATGATAATGTGACTATTGAAGATTGTATTGTTTGTACAGGGCTGTCCTGCACATGCATTTTTATCTCAGGGTTTTAAAATGACAAGAAAGGGAAGTTGTTAAAGGGATTGTTTCTTTATGATGTGTTATATTTTGCTGGTTTTAATTTAAGTTGATACCAAAGACATCCTCTGCTGCACCTTTTTCTTTTCACTATGCGATTTAATCTAAGCTTTTTAATATTAAGTGTATGTTTTATTTCAGTATTAGTATATAACCATGCATCATAATACATTCTTTGGCTTGTTTTATATGTTTCTCTTTTAATTCTTTTAATCTGCAGCATTGAAAGTTCAAAGTTCAAGCTTTACCCAATCAACCAACAGCAATCACTGCCAAATATATTGACAAAAGCAATCAAAATTTTGGGAAAAATGCCATCTTTGGTACTCTAATAAGTAGCAGGTCACTAAAATTTGTACTTGAAACAAGAATGTTTTTATATTTTCTGCACAGGGTTGTCCAAAGAAAATGCCTTGTTGGTAATACTGAAAATATTACCACTTAAGTCCCTAGTTTTCGGACCAACAAAAATGAAGAAACCATGTAACTGTGAGAAGAAAATATGATAAAAAACCAAAATGGAATAATTTCATTTTGAACTACTGTTTAAAAATGTTTACATTACTAATATATTGTATCACCCCTTTTACAATGAAGGGTCTCTAATGTTTTGTGTATTTTTCTTTGCCAATTTTAGTATTTGTGCAAGACAAGAAGAATCTACCTAGATGTGTGCTTACCGTAATGTCTGTAAACTTTCTTGATTACGTTTTGTATTGAAAAAGTCCATGTTGTATTCTTATTTATTGAACATTTTGGACTGATAATCATATTGTAATATTGGCATGTCGCTTAAGACAAGTGGCTGTGTCCCTTTTTGTTCAAAACCACTAACAAAGGTTTTGCACATGACCCAGAATGATTCCTTTTAGATGTGCTGAATGTCAATGGGGTGGGAAAAGTTAACTTGCACTATACAGGTCATCAGCAAAAAATATATTTCTCACAACAACAAAATAGCCCCCAATGTCTCATAAAAATGATGTCCATAAAATGTCTTATATATTAACACTTATGCAACTTGCTTTCACAATCTTGTCTAGACTACATTGCAGCTTAGTGGAAGCCTTGGTATCTGTGATCTACCTCATTCTGTCTTAGTGGTTGAATATCATGAACACATGATCTTAGGGCCATGCTTTTGTTGTTGAAATTTATGAATGTAATAAAACGACATGTCCATTTCCCGACACTGGATGCTGGTTTTGTTTTTGTTGTCAACAATGTGGTCATTTGTATTACACATGGATTACATTTAGTGAGGGATAATGTAGGCTGTGACTTTGAGGGGCAGATTATAGTCACTTGTGACTTTGCAGTTTTTCTGCAATTTCTAAGCAATATTATATCATCTGTGGATCAAGTTTAAAGTGAAGTTTAAATTTGCATTTTTTTTTAAACCTAACAATAAAATAATAAAGAAACAATAAACATGAAATAATATTCTAATATTTGGTTTAAGAGATGTTGCCATGATTTATGCAAAGAGTGAATTACATTTTCATATCAGTTTTGGAAAGCCATTCTTAATTTGGTGTACATTTTAGAAAATATGATGGATGGATAGACGCAAAGAAGCCCAGCCTAAAGTTGTCCTTTGCTGCCCCCTGCTGTTGGGGAAAGAGTGCGCAGCGCCAGGTGCGGCCAATCAGTCAATGAGCGCAGGTCAGTAGAAAAGCAGAGCTCGCTCCTCAGGAGGTCTGCTCTTTTCACTCCCAACCTGCACATTCAGTAAGTGGAAACTAATTCATGGTCGGTCTAGTAGCGTTTTCTTCCTTGTAACTCTGTTTGAACCTCTTGAGTTTCTTTTTGGTAATGGTTACTTTTGTGATTTCATGTCTGCCTATAACTTTACTGTACTCTAATGGCCTAGTTCAAACCGGGATGTGTGGATGGTTGTGGGTGATCTCAGGCTTTAATATACATGAGTTTGTGTTTTTCTTTGTGGGAAACTTAAAGGAATACATAAATATAAGTAGCCCTAATTGTTGTAGATATACAACCAACCATATATTGCCCACTATGTAGTGGGCCCCAGCTTAATGCAAGAGTTTATGTATTTTCTTTAATTGCTATGGTAACGGTCCTAATTTCATTCTGAAAACTCATGGGTAGTTTTACCCCCTTCATGTTTCTAAATTTTCCTATTTGCACTTGACATGGACTAGAATTTGCTTAACATTTTCCCCTTTTTTTTTTTTTTTTTTTTTTTTTTTTTTTTACTACAGAAAAAAGATGTCCGGTCGTGGAAAGAAAGTGGCTGCGCCCAGGGCTCGCAAACCGGTCACGTCAAAGTCTGTGCGAGCCGGGCTCACGTTCCCGGTGGGTCGTATCCACAGGGTGCTCCGAAAGGGGAATTACGCGGAGAGGATCGGAGAAGGCGCGGCTGTGTACCTGGCCGCTGTCCTGGAATACCTCTGCGCCGAAATCCTGGAGCTGTCAGGAAATGCGTGCCGAGACAACAAGAAGCACAGGATCGCCCCTCGCCACATCCTCCTGGCCGTAAGAAACGACGAGGAGCTCAACAAACTCCTGTCCGGAGTCACCGTCTCTGAAGGAGGAGTCATTCCAAATATTCAGGCCATTCTGCTCCCAAAGAAGACTAAAGCAGCGCCCAGCAGAGACGACACCATGGCCAAAGATGTACAGTCACAGGAGTTTTAAAGGGCACTTTACTATGCACTTTTAATCTTTTGTAATAAAATCTTTTTAACTAAAGCTCACTACATGTTTGTAGAAAAGTTGCAGCGTTAAAATTTGTCACGGTAAAGGTGCCATATTAAAATGGCTTCCGCGTCATGTTAAGCGTACATGCATTAAATATAGTCCAAGTTAGGCTGCATAGTGATGAAAATGTAGCATACATTTTCAAGTCTTTGCCAAAGCAGAGACTGTTCCAAATCTCACCACTAGATGTCATATTGTACTCAATGATTGTATGGTAACCTGTAGGGCAAGCAGAGGTCAGTGCACCTTGACAAGAGTTTAGGCCCAACCATGAAGGTCTATCTCCTTAATACTGCTTGGCCTGGAATATTCAACATTGTATTAAATTTGACATTTTAATTGCTCAAAAAAATGGCCTTTAAGAACATATGTACGTTTTTCACTTCTCCTCAGCACTGATCTATAGATGCCATTAAGGAAACTGCTAAAATCAATACCATACTATGGGACACAGGGAAAACAACCTTTAATACAATAAGTGGCGGACCAACCAGAAAAGTTGTGGTACACCCTGAAATGCAAGCAATTCTTAAGCAAACATCAGTTGTGCTTTCCACCTGGTTAGATTATTTTGTCTATAGTTGATTGCTTAAAAAAACCCTGCAAAATAAGTGACAATGAGAAATCAACTAAAACCTCTTTATTAAATATAACACTTAACACTGATCTTGTTAATGTGTATATACAAAATCTTATGACTGCATGTTTGTTTTTCCTTTGATAACAAGTGCAGTGTGCCCATTTACAGACACATTCATTTATGTTGAATGTCATTGTTGTAAACAAGACACATGCTAAATCAGTTTAGCAGAACAATACTGTTTCTCAGTCTAAATGTTTATTATTCATTTAGACGTCATATTTTCAGATTTAGGAAAAGGGGATATGTAACTGTGAAAAGGAATTTTTGACCAGCTTTGTTGGAAAATTAATAATAAAATAATAAAAATCCTATTGACAGTCTGAATATGTTGATTTTATGGCTTGCAGTTTGGTCATACCAAGCCTTTATCATCTACAGTTATTGCAACCTTTGAATACCATAGTGGGAAAACAAAAGTCACCCTAGTTCACATGTGCTGGCAGGGAAAGACAGTTTTTATTTCACGTGGATAGGCCCAGTATTTACAGACATAATATGCAGATCAGAACATTTGCATTTTAAAAGTTTTACAACAATCTCCACCATAAAATTCTGACCTGTCCTCCAGCTCTATTTTAAACTTTTAAAAATTTACTCTTAAGAATGGAATTGTTTGGTCATCACATGACAGCCATTCTTCCCATGTCCTCATTGCCAACTCATTCATAGTTAGTTATTGGATCATTGTTGGCAAAAGTGATTCAGAAACAAGCATCTAGCAGAAAAGTTCAGAAGTTTAATGTGCCATATCTAAAGTAGTACTTTCCTTCCTACGACATCATATTTGTATGCCTTCATTCATGTTGTTAACCTGGCATCCTCAGACTTCACATACATAACTGATCACTGGCATTTTCACAAAGGAAACATCGTACAATAGAGTGCTACATCAATGAATTAGAATAAAATAGAAAAAGGCCATTCATTGTAGTTTTCCAATCCAAAGTGAAAGCTATATTGTTAAGAACTATTCCCAATATTTCATGCAAAGTACCACCTCAGACAATATTTGGCTTTCAAATGACTGTGGTTAAAGCCGATGCTAAAACAGGAATACTATAATCCAAACAGATCTAGGACTGAACTAGAACCAAAGCAGGACTAAACCAAGATTGAGATTTGTCCTTAGAGCAGGAAAATATTAGGACAGAGCCCATTTGAACCTGCAAAGAGCAAAACATCTGAGGCATTTGTATTGTTGTGGTTATGGCTTACCCAGTACTTGGGGAAAAACATATTAAATACCTTTTTTTAATATAAATTACTCTAGAACACTAAAAAGTCTACATCTACTGAATAAAATGAATTTCGCTTTTAGATTTCAACTACTTGAAATAAATTTAATTTAATTCTAACTGTTGATGTATGACTGCAAAAGATTTCTTCAGCATTTGGAAAATACTTTCATACATCAAACACATGAAGGAGTTAAACATGATTTATAAACAAAAACAGTGCAATTTCACATTCCCAAGTCATAAATTAATTTGTTACATTTAAAGACATTACATTTGGTGCATTTAAAAATGTGGAAAGGTGCAAACAATAAGACAAATGTTACTTAAATTAAACTACATAGGACAATAATGAACAAATGCATGAAGTGCATGAGGTACGATGGTTTTACAGTGCTTAAAAAAGTGCTCCTTTAATTGCACAAAATAGATTTGTACTAACCATTACAACTTTGGGCACAGATTCAGCTATACTTATTGAACTACTTTTTGGATAATGATTTGTCACAAAAAAGATCCAATTAAAAACATGGCAATGGGGGTTTTCTGTGTTTTTTATTTCATTTCTGTTATTGAGAGCACTGCAATGTGTGCCATTTTAATAAATACATAATCTTTGCTTAAGGGAAAAGAAAAATAGGACGGAATGATTGAGGAAAGTGGCAAAAGAAAGGTCAAAAGCAGTGGTGGTAGAAAGTCCAGTCAAAATACTGGAGGCCTTAGCAGAGATATTCTTTCAGCACAATGTGGTGATTAGATTGTGATGCATTATGGGATATGGTAAGGCGATATGAGAACAAGGTGGAATGAGGCTGAGGTGAAAGACAAGCAAAAAAAAACAGAACTCATAGAAATGCAATCTGACCTATAGAAATTGAATGTAAAAGTGTAAAAATAGGAATAAAACTAGAGGATGAGGTGATATCAGGAGAGGTCCTGGAGGCGGCTGCCCTGTTCGATGACTGCCTTGGCAAACTGTTTAAAAACTCGGTCCATGTAAGTGCTCTGCCGTGGCCACAGCCCCTCCAGGAATCCAATATGGCCACCGTGACAAGTGATGAGCATCGCCAGGTTTGGGTTCTGCTTCACTGCCTCCACCGGGATGGCTGCAGTAGAGGACATTGTATTTGTTACAAGCAAAATATTATAATACATATCTACTAGGGATGTAACAATATCCAAATCTCTTGGTACAATAATATCACAATATGCATATCACAGTACGATATTTATTGCGATATTTTGGAGAGGCTAATATAATTGTAGATAGGACACTTTTTTGCTTTTAAAATACCCTGACAAGATTTTGGTGTAAATTATTTCCGTCATATTCCCAAGAATTCAAGTAAAAACCATATTTCTTCATGTTGTCTTCTCTGAAATGAATCATGGGATATGTAGTTCGCGATGTTTATAAGCTGTTGCTGCTATAAAACAATGCATCATTTAAGCAAAGGAACTTGTAATTCGATATACTGTGACAGCCCACAATATTATTGTGAGACTTTTGATGATATTATATCACAATATTTCGGTTAATTTTACCTCCTTAATATCTACAACTACATTTACAGAGAAACCACCATATTGCTCAAAATTATTAAATTGATATTCCCTCAAAAATTAACATGAGAAGACCCCTTTCCCAGTCTTAAATGAACTTACGGGCAGTCAATCTGAAGTAGATAAATGTTGGATAAATCCTGTTTAATAGGGGAAACCCAGGCACAAGGAGAACATGCAAAATTGTGATTATACAGCTACAGCTATACAGTGATTATATGTCACTTAAGCTTTACTTTAAAAAAAAAATTCATTACATGATTTGATTACATTTCATTAAGTTAATCACATACTAGTGGAGAAATGATCTATTGGACAGCGTGAATGAAAATTAATAAGAGATTTCAGTGTTGTTTGGTCATGGTGTTGATAATTATGAATAATCATAAAATTTTGAGTTTCTTATTTGAACCGTCTAATGCTAACCTATATTTAATGTAATGTAGGACTTGCCATGACTGGGGGAGAAGACGTCATCAGCAGCATTGAGGCAAAGCAGTGGCACCTGCACTGACTTTAGCCTGTGGATCGGACTAGCATCTCGATAGTAATCGTCATTTGTGGGGTAACCGAACATTATGGACGTAAACCTCTCGTCAAATTCACGAATGGTCTTTGCCTGCAAAATAGATATTATTGTAATTGCACTTGTTTTTAGCTGTCCTTTAGTATACATTTTGCTAGTCTAAAAACAAGTCATACCTTCATTACGTGATCAATGTCGTAACACTTTTCAAGCACGGGTCTGTGTCTTGGGGGCAGATAAAAATAAAACTGTCATCATCAGCTGTCATGTAAAATGAGTTGTGTAAAATGAAGTCTATATAAATGCTGACAAGGCTGTGACAAAAATGAATGAGCGGTACAGCTAATACCCTAAAGGAATTCAGAAATAGAAGCACAAGTTTACAGAGGTCATGCTTTTAGGTGTGACTTCCCACACACTGGCTGTATAGGCCTATTATCTGTGTGTTCCATAGCGTTGGGAATTAAAACTGATGTTATCACAATTTTGTACGAAATATTTCACCTTTTGAATACTAATGTAATGTGCTAAAATGGCTTCTATAACAGAAATGTACTTTAACTGAAACCTATGAATAAAATGTACACTATTAACATTATATCAAAGAGTGAACATGAATTAAAAATTAGGCAAACCAGTCCAACCAGCCACAGGGCAATGCCAAAAATGCACATTAAAGAGCCCATATTACACTATTTTCTCATCTATGTTATAATGTTGTTTCCTCATCAAAAACATACCTTAAAAATATAAAATAATACTTAGTCTGTACTATACTATCTATACTGAACTAAAAGTTAAAGGTAGCTGTTAACTAAAAAAATACCATGTACATCACAAAACAGAGCATTTTGAGCTTTGGAGATGTAGAGAGCCTAATAATAAAAGGTTACTCAAACATGCGTGAATGAAACAAAACACAACAACGTAACAGCATTATAACTTGGCTTACACCTCACAAGAGTCAGTTTTGCGTAATGTAGGCCATTTAAGCACAAATTTAATCATTACCTGAAAAATAGTACTTCTTTAAGCTATACTGACAAACTAACAACACAAATTTTAGTTGCCAGCATGATGTTAAGCTTTGTGCATGTCTGTATGTATGTTGTAGCTGACCTGTGCACAGAGGCCTGTAGGCAGCTGGTGAGGTAGGAGTTGAAGAGGAATCGATCCAGAGGTTTTTCCAGAGAGGCAGTGCACTCAAACACATCCCAGCCCGCGGAGAAGACAACACCCCCTTTCAGACATGTTTCACGACCCTTACGACCAAGGTAGTTCGCCAGCATCATCCTAAAAGCAGAGAGAAATGGAGTGGGGGTGGGGGGGTATTTTACATCTGTTAATCCCTTAGTCGTCAAGGTAGGATCCATAGTAAAAGAAATTTAGCTAAAAACCAAGAGTAAATATAGTGTTTTGACTCTGGTAAATTAAAATTAAAAACCCACGTCTGAATGCTAAACTCATTCTGCTTTATGATTCATACAAGACAGTGTTCAAAAATAAAACACAAGTGCACTCCACTCCTGCAGTGCTTAGTTTGTTCCCTTGGACTATTTGCACAAAGAGGACGAGAAAACTGTTGGACAAGAACAGCTGGTTCCACTACTGGGTTCAATGTCTTAGAGTGTACAATTGATGCTATCTGCTAAATTATTAACAAATTAGAAGTTTTATTCAAATCACAACATAATGACTTCCTTTTTGGTTTTCTCTAAATACAGCCACTGATTTGCTACTTATGTGCCGCCTGGCACGGAGAAATGTAGCCTCGCGCTTAAGAGAGTGGAAGACTTAAATGGAAACCACTTCAGTAATAGTATATCATGTCAAATTTAAATATTATTCCCTCTAATGATTAGCTGTAAATTATAAATTGCTTACAAATAAGTAATGAAATATTTACTGTATCTCAATTGTAAGAAAAAACACAAAAGCTGAAAATGATAGACTGTAGAGCAGGCATGTCCAAACTATGGCCCGGGGGCCAAATGCGGCCCTCAGACGTCTAGGTAAATTGGCCCAAATTACCTTGCATTAATTAAAAAATATTTTTTTACTGCAAGTTTTTTGAAAATCTTCCTTGATAAAGCCAATATTGAATATTTAGTGTGTGGTTTTAAGGATCTTAGCATGAATAAATACCGATGGCTCATTCTAATGTGTTAAACCTGCACATATTTCAATTATTCACTGTACTGAGCATCAGTCTACGGCCCTCGATCAGCCCTCTGCTTTGTCTGTGTTTAGATATGTGGCCCTTGATGAAAAAAGTTTGGACACCCTTGCTGTAGAGTGTCTAGAATGTTCTCTTGAGGGTTCAAAACCTGTTAAACTTGTAACAAACCTCAACAGACATATTCTGAAATGCATGGAATTCTTAAGCAGCTGTTTTCCTTTCTTCTAGGTATGACCAAACTGCACACTGTATTCTGAATAGTAATGGAATTGTATAATAGAACTATGGAAAATTCTTGATACTTGATACCAATTTTGATACAGTGATAATAAAATACATGCTTTTAGACAACAGAATGTCATTTTCAACATAAAACATAGGGGTGCAATAATATTATAATAACTATTGATACTAGTTCCGACATACTAGTACATCAGACCATTCTAAAATTAGGAAACACTGTCCTATTTATGTGATTTTTTTTCTTTCATAATAGATACCACCTCAGTGCAGTACCAATTTTCAGTACTATGTTAGTGTAGATTATTATCTCTTAATCTTTTTTTGGCCCACACTAATTCTAAATCTTGATTTCCGCTGTTACAAGTTCCCTCGAATGGTTCATCTCTAATACAAGGTCATAGACTTGTGGTGTCTTGAAGAGCGTAATGTGTGTGAGGTATCTGATGTGATGATGGTGAAAGTCATATGGACGAGTGAGGCTTGATTACCCGCCCATGGACACTCCAGCCGCCATGAGAGGAGCAGCTGCGTAACTCTTCTGGATGTGTTCAATAACAGTCTCCAAGTCCTCTGTGTTAGCAGCGCAGTATGTCCTCGGTGTCTGACAGGAAAGACAAATACAAAACAGGTTAAAATTATAAATTTGTTAATAGATCAACTTATGGTAGCATTTGTATTCTTTATGTTTTTGAATCTTTTTTATACTGATTATTGTTTTAAGTTTGTGTTTTACAAATTTTTCACAAAAATTTCACAATAAGCAAAATAGCAGGAAATGTGCTTTCATTGTAAAACGTGCGATAGAAATAAATGGGATTGGATATTGACCAAATGACATGTACAATTACATCTACCTTTCCCAATAATAAAAAAAATAAAGTATTTAATGTTAACTGTGAAATATTCATGTATTTAGACTGTAATGAGCTGCAGCGCCTTTTATTAAATAATATTTTCTCCACAATGTAAACATGTAAAAATTTACAGGTTTTCAATGTGATATATTTTTAATAAGAAAGTTTACATTATACACCTTTAAAAATTGAATACTTTTTTTAAATAATTAGCAAGAGGATTAAGAATCTTAATTACACTATAGATGTATGGATTGTGCATGAAGCTGACTATGGGCGAATGCACAGCTAATAGTCTTTCTCTCTTTAAAGAAAATCAATACATTTGATTTTGCTGATGCTGTATTTAAAAGGCAACAGAAACAAGCCTTTTAGTTTGACATTACAACGAACATCATTGTAACATAATCCAAGATTTTTACAATAATGACTCAATTATACATCTGAATAAGTTAATCAGTGAACAGCAATTCAGAAAAAACAAGAAACTATGGTTACTTAAAAACATGAATGAAACAGTTCAAACCCCAGTCAAACTCAGGTGAAAACTTGAATTGAGCCAGGTTTAGGATAGATCTAAACAGGACTAACCATGCATTCAGGATTAAACCACAGCTATCCCTAACAAACATACATAAGACTAGGACTAAAGAAGAAGCATTTGAAAGCTAAGGACCATTAAGTCACTGAGACACTGAGAATGCACTGTAGTGAACAAAATAATAATTTAACATTTTGTTAAGACAAATTCTCAGCATTCTGCTCACTTCCTGCTTTTCAATGGCCTTCATTAAAATTCAAGCTTGTGAGCTCCACTATTCTCTGGAGGCTACACTGGGACATCTGCACACAGTTTATCTAATTAATCTACAGCACTGAAAAGACCTAATATTTAGACAATGTAAGCTTTCTATATAGCAGTCTGTTGTAAGTAATGCATTGCTTTGTACAGTGTATCTGGGGCACTAGCGTAAAGGGAGGTAGAGGGCATCCTTCACACTGCGGGTCATTTAGATGCACTGGCCTACTTAGACAACAGGCAGTTCACATTTAATAGCCATACAAAACCATTCAGAGCAATGCATAGAAAAACAGAATACACAAGCCATCATGTGATAAAGGGCCAATTAGGACTGCAACAACGAATCAGAATAATGTGACTAATTGACTAGTAAAATAATAATTGATTATTTTAATAATCATTAATTAGTCATCTGGACTCTATAATAACTCTAAAACACATGGCACATGTACATAACAAAACAACCCACAAATAAACAAAAAAACACAAAAAATTATCAATTGTTGCAGCACTAGTGCCAAGGTTGCTATGGTAAACATGTAGAATTCAAACCCAGCAACATTAGAGTTGTGCGTCCTTATTTTCAATGGTTGAACTTAGACAAAGATGGAAACAGTTCACACAGACCAGCCTTTGAGTAAGATATTCAAAGGACTTATGAGTTAAGGCACTGTACTGCACTGTCACGGAGCAGCACAGTGTAAAAGATGGAAGACAGAATCTTAGAATGATGAGAAAATGAGAATGAACACAAATTTTAATTTGAGTTTATTTCAAAGTGAGTATTGGTCCAAGGATAAGAAGATTGCCATGTAGATTGAAAAAACAAAAACAAAACAAGAATCTTTAAACCACTCTTACTCTAAATAAAATAAACTAAATATCTTCTAAAATATAATTTCCACATTTTATGCATAATAAACTTTATTTATCTGATTACTTGGGCAATCAGTTAAAGCTTGGGAACTCTTATACAGGTGTACATTTCTTTATTCCTAGAGTGTACAGAGTATAAATTGTGGAAGCAGCAATTACAAAATTTGATTGCAGCTGTCTGCATCTATTCATCCAAGCAATTTATTGATCACAAACTTCACTTGTCTGAAATGTTGCAAGATTATGTATCTGCTGTCTGTCAAAGCATGAACCTACACACTTTATGCATGTGAATACGAGCGATGTGCCAGCAGGCTTGTGAAAGCTTAGAACTACCTCCTCTCATACTTTAATTTTAAAACTCCTTCTATACATAGGTTTCAGAATGATGAAAAATTGGGACCACCAATTTAAAACAAAATATTATCTTTTATTTATTTAGTTAATGAGACAGGGACAGCGCACAATTTTTACATTAACCTTAACAGGAGAAATGCATTGTACCAGGCTGTAGCACCAGTGCTAATTTCCACCTGTAGGTTCATTGATTGATTGTATTTAACTGACCTTAGCTATCAGCTGTTCTTCCTGAAGACCTATGTAGCATGTTTTGGGTTGATGGGGGAATCCATCCAAACACGGGGAGAAACATGCAAACTCCACCCAGGGATCAAACCAGGAACCTTCTTGTTGTGAGGCACCACGTCGCTAATATAAAAAAGTCATCAAAAACTGTACGGTCTATAGGTGGGACTTGGCAGAGGTCCATGTTATGTAGAGTGATTTTAGTTTTAACTTTGTGATTTTAGTTTAAATTTTTCTTTCTTTTTTGGTGTATTTCAATACAGCATTCTTCGATTCATGACATAGCTTCTAAGTCTGTCTGAATCTTTTGCAAGTACAGTGATACAGTTTAGGATATCTCTGTGACATCTCAGAAGAAAGCGGGGGGTGCTTTTGTTGGCTAAATATACCAGAGAGTGACCGAGTGCAAGGGAACAGATTAGGCCAGGTGTCAGAACAGCATGTGCTCCACAAGGTCATATTCCTTTGGTTCGGCATTAAAATACTGGATCTGCCTGAAACTTAATCCCCGCTGGGTAACAACAGAGTCTGGCCCTGGGTCTGACCCAAACACGTGCGCTGGTATGAACACATTAATACAGTGCACTAATATGGGTCTTATGAGGGAACATGACACTCTTCATTTGAGTCATTTATTTGACTAGTTTGGAATTTTTTAATTTATAGGTCTGGATTTTTAAATTTGTTTCATGGTATTTCTGGGAGCATTCACACTTGCCCTGATTGGTTTCAATTTATTTCTGTCAAAATTATCTGTCTTTAAACTTCTTGAAATATTGCAACCTGTCATACTGACAAGACAAAAACAATAAACAAATACTAGTACTCAAAAAGAATTAACATTCTGAATGCAGGCGATTTTAAGTTTTGTAGTTGGAGTTTGATGGTGAATCCATAAAAAAAAAAAGTTCTTACCAGCAGAGTCTCTCCACACACGCCTCTGTTGTTGAATACCACACATCTGAAACACAATTAAACAATGGTTTTGACTAAAACTAAGCCTCCAAGAAATGCGTTACTGTTTTTACAGTTTCTTCATTTGAAGATTGTGCTCTTTGATATTTATAATAAAAATACAGAAAGCAGATCCCTTGCCTGGGAATGCATTTTTTATACAAATTGATATCTGTCTGGTCCCAAAAACTCCCACTGCGTCTCATGCCCGACAAAACATGATTGTGCAGTCAGGTTTGTCTTTTTTCAGTGATGCATATGATAAATATCTCACTTCAGTTTAACAGAGTTTAGGGCTACAGTCATTGATCCTGCAGAAATCTACAATGTTTTATGGTCCCCTGTGATGTTTTTCCTATGCATGTCCCTGATTTGCTAATTCATCTGTCAATCACACCTATTTGAAAACTGGGAGAGTCACTGGTGACCAGACTCACACCTCCGTAAACTATTGAAGAAGTGTATATTGTGGATCCCAGGCAAACTGTCCCCATCTGCTGGAGCGATGTCATCCTCTGAATGCAACCAAATACATAACATACTACATAACTGTTACACTTTTATATATCTCCATTACCACCCACACCCATATACAGGCACATTCTCCCCAGTCATCTCTGATCTGCAGTGTAACTAAGCAAACTGTCCCAGCCGAGTAAGCACAAGGGGGGTTGAGGGGGCAGTGGAGGGGTACTGCTTTGCACACATTGCAGCATCAACTGGAAGCTGGTATGGTCTAAGCTGCAAAGCCTGTACCAGGATAAGCTCTAATTCATTAAGCTACACACACAGACAGACACTAGCAAGCAGGGGTGAGGGGTAGCAAGATGGAAGATGCTGTTTGGCTGTTTTTTAATTTATTTATTTATTTATTTTTTTTTTACAAAATCTGTGTGATAGAATGAGTGCGAAGAGTGAAGGGATGGCCTGTTGGAGAAAAGAGAAACTGTGGAGAAAGTGCTTTTGTCTGCAAATGTGTGTGCTTTGTTTGGCTCTTTACTAAAGCAGCCCCTGACATAGAGCTTAGATGTCCACTTTATAATGCAGTTCACCTCAACTGATCCCAAACCAGAACAACAATCCAGCTAATTGTTTTTTTGTAATATATAGTCTTACAATTTGTCTTTCAATATGCAAGTGCAATGTGTAATAGGATGCTAAGAGCTGCATGCACCAAATAGTGTTTCTGACCTAAGCTTTTTATCTATAGGGTCAAGTAGATTTAAGGGGATTTTCAATGGATATAAATGCAGCACTTGCTCTGCTGTGTCTGTGGTCCAAATGTTTAAAAATAAATTTTGGTGGCATATTAAGATTTTATTGGGATGAGATCAAATAATTGTATTGTTTATTTTTCTTGAAAAATGTTAAGACCAGGGACTTATCAGCAAAGGATCAAATTGTGTGTGAACCCAGAAAGCTGCCTTTTTAAAAAATCAAGCAGAATTTAAAGGGGTATTGCACTTTTGAACAATATTTGCATCTTTATAAATCATCATGATGCTGTTTTTATTTTCTAAATTGCTTGATGTTTTTAGCATTGCACTTACTATATTATAAGGGCCTGAACCATAGACTGTATGAAGAAGAGGACTATGGGAGTGTGACGTTTGGCTCCAGTCAAATGAAGCTCACAATGCTAGTGGTTATAGGGCTGAATTTGGAGCCAAGCTCCATATTAGGAATAGAAATTTATTTACAGACAAAATAGCGAAATAAAAACACCAGGATGTAGTTCGGAGGCGGAAACACCCCCACGAACACTTCCTGTTTGGAGTGCATCGGTTAGCAGGTTAGCTATGTCCATTTATATATACAGTCTTTGGCGTGAACCTGATCATATTTGACAGTATTGTAGAGCAGGAAACTGAAGCATTATATTATGTAGTGTTTTAGGGCTCTTTATATAGAGGCCTGAGTCTGGGGGTATGCACCTGTATCCGAGCTCGCGGCTCTGCTGGACCATGTGCAGGATGTAGGACTCTCGGCTGGTGCCCGTGAGGCCAGGCAGGAGCAGGACAGTGGGTCGACAGGACGGGTTGGGGTGCGAGGAGCTGTCGTCATTGTCAAACCAATCCAATGAGATCTGTCCTCCATCTGCTGCTTTAATAAGCTCACTGCAGAGACAGGAAGACATGCAACACACAGGTCAAGAGCAGGCCATTACCTCTCTGTCATATAACCATGTAATTTAGATCAGCATCATATACAGAAATAAAGCTAAAACATCAAAGCTAGTAACTCCTTGAAAATGAAAAACTGATGCAAAATACAATGTTTGTTAATAGATTACATGAATTAAGGCAATACATTTAGGTTACGACAGCTACATAATACACAGTCAATTTACTTTAAATGTCCACAGGTTATTGTTAAAATAAAGTATACATTATATTAAAGATGTTTTTCTCATTGAATGCCATTGAATTGACTGCAGTGCAGTCTCTTGATATTGAGTTAAGGTTTCCATCAGGGCTTCTTAACTAGAATATAAGCAGATATTCTGTTTTTAAACTAATGCTAGAATTGGTATTCATCCATAGATAATTTAGTTCGAACACGGCTGGAGCAAGTTGACAGAGTAACGGACCAGTTATAGTTACTGATGACATACTAGCAATAAACAAATTAGTTATTTTTGATGACACATTCTGTAAATAATAAGTATTTCATTCTTATTTTCTGGCACTTCTGTGTCATTGCCAGTGGGGGAGTTAGCTTCACTGTGAGTCCAGTTCTCTTTGACATTCTCTAGCATCCGTTTTTATCTGAGTGCTTAGCAACAAGCCCAAACAGATAAGAAGCACAATGCACTAGAGGATTGTAACAGGCAATTGGTTTTTTTGGCTGCATCCTTTGCTTTTGGCAGATGAGGTCATTCAGTCCCACTGCTGCTGCTGCTGCATTACAAACCCACACATGCCCACACTATAAGAGTAGAGACAAGTAGGACTGCTTCCCGCCTGAAATTACAGAACCAAAGTGAAATATACACCTGGGGTTAAAGTCGACAAAGGCCTGTCCCAAATGACTAGGCTCAAGGTGGACAGGGGAGCGGCGGTAATCCTCCGCTCGGACAATGACATGAGTGGAATTACACCTGGACTGCCCGCTACAACAAATAGGACAGTTTTCACACAGCTCGTCCTTGTGTCAACCTTGGGTAACTTCATTACAGGGGGGAGGTCCAGTGTTCCTGCAGGAAATGTGATAATAACTTTATAAAATGTGACCATCACTCTTTCCATATTGTGAGATAGATGCTGCCCCTGTGCATTATGGGAATATGTGTCCCCTTGACTGAGGAGACAGGAGATAAATGTACTTGAGAGGGACAAATAATGATACTAATATGACACAACTCATGTTAAAGTGCCATAATATAAGTGGATATTATGTATATATTTTAACTGGAACTTAGTCAATAGATACAACACGATTATAAACCAACCAGCGAGTTACAGTATGCACCAGGTAATAAATGGCAATACATAATTATGACTGTAGCTTGCAGCATCAGAATTGTCATTATCATAATTATGTATCATTATAAATATAAATAGCAGCTCTCTCCTGGTTTTGTAATATCAGTATACTGTATACTGAGTACACAAGCTCTGCAATGGAAATCAATCAGGGTTGTCAAGACTATACAAAAGATCCAGTTAAGACTATACAATAGATCCCTTTATATTTTCCTTTTAAGTGCTGACTAAGCAAAGATTTCACTAAGATTTCACTACAGTTGTGAAAGAATTAAGAAACATGCAGCGGTACTTAGCGAACACACACTTTTTCTTGATGTTAAATCCCCTTTGTCACGTGTCCTGACCTACTCTATTTCAATATTATAATTCAAATAGTGGAATGCAATATTTACAGTTACAATCTCTACAAGAAATAGTACAACTTATAAACTTACTTTCTATAGACAACTCCAGGTTTGGCTGTAACGAACGGTCTTAACAAGGTCTGAATTCGGCTCTCCCAGCACCAGAACGTCGGGTAGTAGGTCTCAGACACAACAGGACAATGATCCCTCAAGAATTGGTAGAACTTTTTACCCCCTGAGATGAGCTGCGGCTTCTGTAAAATACAAAGAGCTTGTAGATTACATTACATTCCACTCCAGTCTGGCATATAGTGATGATGTAGCATATTACTTTACTCACACTAGCACGCTATATCTTTTATTCATAGTTAACACATTATAATGGATGATTTATTGGGTCACACTTAAATGCTGTTATAATGCTGAGAAAGAAATAGAGCAGCCAGGTATAGCTGACAAATAAGATCATTACTATGTCTGACTTATAGACCACTGTCATTCAGGATGAAAAAATAGAGGCTTAACAACACATGTGCAGTTATAGACCTTGACCCCGCTACGGGGTAATGACACGTGCAAGTTTGGAACTGGACTTTTATGACCCGACAATTACACGTTTATACAAAAGGGCAAAGTTTCAATTCAGTAACATCACGCCGATTGATTAGGTAAATGGTCACTTTATTTTTAGTTACATGTTGCGATAGGGGTGGAATAAATCTGATTATGATATTTTGAGATTTCTTATCTATAAACAGCCATAGTACTAGTCCAAGCATAATAACACTGTAATAACAGTGCCTTTAGCGAAGGATGTCCAGTGTTGTATTGCATAAGACACCGGTATGTAATGCTAGCTTAGCCAATGCCGATAAGTGACCATATTCGAGCAAATGACCTTAAGGCACTACGATTACTTCAGGGAAAATACGCAAAAACGCCCGCGTGCATCTACCTATTTAGTAGATTTTAGCATTTAATTTACTGTAAAAATGTCTCTTTCAAGCGTGGCATCATCAGACATGTGCAGATGAGCGTTAGCACCGGTGTAGACCGATGCAACCTCACCATCAGTACAGTGACTGCACCATTGTATCACCGCTCAATAACAGCGGGAACAGCATTTCTCTCTATAATGTAACCTATAACAACTATCAAATCTGCGCAAACTTTTACTAAAACTGTTAAAATACGACAATACGCAGGCATTTACCTTTGCTACTGATAGTAAATAGTAGCAGGTGTACGCAGCACTAAACCCCAGCACCAGGGAGAATCCTATACCGGAGTCGAAGAGTCCAACTTTCACTTGATTCTCCACATAATGTGACAGGTCCCGAGTCAAAATGTTGAAATTGAACTCCGGCGAGATCATTGCAATGTCCCTGTTTCCCTCCGCTCAGAAGGACAGGCAGCTCGATGGGTCTCTGCAGTGCGAGACTGAAATGAAGGAGACAGTCAAGGGGAGCAGCCGCGGAGAGCAAAGGAAGAGGAGGCTGAGCGCAGCGCGGACACACGGTGGCGCTGTTTCACCACACATACACACATACACATAGGCCTCTAGTAGAACGACGAGAGGGCGCCGCTTTGTGGTAACACATGCGATGCACGGCGACAGGACAGACAGGTAATCTGATTAAAATGGTCCACTATTATCTAAAATAGAGGGAGCTTAACATAAGCGTATTTATTTTACTAGGCTCGGCTGCTGATTGGAATCAAGATTGTATTGTGTTGAAGGCGGCAAGCAGACAGGTGACATAGTATATGTTTTTGTACAGTCCGTGGTGACTAGGATACTTTTTAGGCCTATGTCAGTGTTTTTCAAACGTCTGTTTCAGTTGGGGCAGACTTTGTTGGAAGAACAAACAAACAAACAAACAAAAAAAAAAACCAACCAAACAAACAAAACAAAAAAAAAAAAAAAAAAAAAAAAAAAAACACAACAAAACAAAACAAAAAAAAAACCCCAAAACAGCGTCACACCTACTTTTTAAAAAAATCTGATCTTTAATGTGGTGCATAATGTGGCCAATAATGTCCATGTCACTATCTGGCCCTTTACATTTCGTGAGTCGTAATTATTTTTGCTTTCTTTTTTGATGCTGAAGGACAACTCATAATGGTATATTATTCAGTTAGATTCATGTATGAAATATTAACTCAAATTCAATATTTTTTCAAGGCACAGCTGGAAATACCTCAAGGCATAGTGTTCCGCCTAGTCAAACGTGAACAGTAGACCAGTCAGTTATATTTAGGCTACTACTGAGGCTCTGATGTAATTTAGGTACAATAGGTACAACAGAGAAACAATACAGAGAATTTGAGAATTCAAAAAGTTATCCCTCTTTATCCCAGTAGGTGGAGTTAAGGAAAATGATAAGCACTTTTCTCCAGAGCCTAACAGCAAGGGTAGGGTACTGTGTATGTGCGAAGACTCAGATGACAAAGAAACTGAAGAAAATCTCTGCACAGCCAAAGGAGAGAAAAATCAAGGAAAAAAAAGAACAAACCAGCAAAAAACATCTGATTCAGGAACCACCACGATAAGAAGGAAGAACACCATTGGGCTGGAGTTGGCTAGAAGGAACCATGAAAACACAGGGCGGACCACTTGAGATCTGAAAATTATTGGATATCTGAGTCAAAACATCGGTTCAGTCTATATCATGGTTGGACATATACATTTATGTAATAAGACTATTTACTGGTCATAGTGGGCCCAGAGAGTCTCATGATGTTTGAACTTGTATCTATTGAATGCTATTCTGTAGTTACATGAGAGATAAAAACAGTTACATAACACATTTGGATCAGTTTTGTTCTAGTTTATTTTTGTTTAAAGGAATAAATTCTGTTTTCAGTCTCAGCACTTGTATCAGTTGGTATTGGGTATTGGCTGATACTTAACGCTAATATCAAAATCAGTATTGGAAATGAAAACGCTGTGTCAATGAGTCCCTAATGTGTGCATATTGAGTTATTTAAGTATGTTAAATAATTAAAATGTATATTTTGTATGTGTTTATTTACATTTAATAATGAAAAATGAAAATACTTTTTTCACATATGCAAAGATGCAGATGATTTGTAATATTTATCAATTACACAACAGCCATTGTGTGTGTCTTGACTCACAAATTTTTTTTAACATTACATTGTAATGTAATAATTCACATGTTATATCAGAAAAGGCTTTTTAGCCCATGTGTTTAGCCTATGTTAACCAGAGGCATAACCCTAATTATTTTATGGCAGCTTCCCTAGAGGCACTTTCCCAGGAGACACTATAACAGTTTTAGCTCACCAACAGGTGATTACTTTTACCTAATTTAATTAAACTATTGTTATTCTATTTATTTATGTATTTATTTATTTTTGATGGCCATACAAATAACTTGCTGCATCTGTATTTATTTACTTTTTTCTTTGCACATTATAACATAATAATGTAAAACATATTTATGTATTTATTGTTGAGGTTTAAAGTGAGGAAAATACATCAATATATGGCCACTGTAAGTATACTAACTGTATTTCTGTTATACCTCAATTTTGATATCACTTGCTGATGCTCAAAGTTTTCCAATTTGTGAGATCACAAACACTGAACTTGTGTATCAGTTGTCTGTGTAGGACCAGAGTTAACTGCGGTTAAACTGACTTAAAATGTGGTTAACATATTGTGAGTTGGTCAAAGCTTTAAACACTTTAAAGTTTTGGTCCATGGTTTTGATCAGGTGTTGATGCGCTTGCAGTGGGCCTGGGCCTGCAGGGCGCATGCGCAGTGGAGAGGTTCGTGCTGTTTTGCTCTGCCGCTCGTCTTCGGGCTTTGGGGCTTTGTCGTTCAGCTCTGGAGCTAGTTGTTGCTTCTGGGTCTGACGATTATTTACAACAATGGCGACGCGTTTATCCTGAGCTAGCTCCAGAAAACCACCCCTGGGTAACATACGGACAACCGGGTGGACTTAACTCAATCTCAACAAGCAACAACTGCATCCGGAAGATTTTTTTATTTCAGCAAAAGAGGTGCATCTGCTAACTGTGCTGTAGTTAGCTAACACATCGACTCGCTAGCCTGCTGCTAAGTTGAAGAGGAGAAGAGCATACTACCGAGTTGACTCCTCACAAAATATGGAAATTGTGCTTCGTACTTAGGTTTTTCCTTCACTGCGAGCCGCGGAGACGCACTAGCAGCGTGATCGTGGACTCACTTTTAGAGACTCCCACAGCCGTGTAGGTAGCGGACCAGGCTACTTTGCTAACAGGCTAATCCAGTGGATTGTTTGATTTCTCTGTGGACTTGAGTCTGTACAAGTGTTCAAGGCGCAACAGTAGCTGGCTAGCACGCAACTCTAGCCTGCTGAATTTCTGTGGCATTGCGATACACTTTCGTAAATGACCACGGGTAGGAACAACCGAGCGATGATGGAAGGAGTTGGAGCCAGAGTGGTGCGTGGACCTGACTGGAAGTGGGGCAAACAGGACGGAGGAGAGGGGCATGTGGGCACCGTGAGGAGCTTTGAGAGTCCCGAGGAGGTGGTCGTGGTTTGGGACAACGGAACAGCTGCTAACTACCGCTGCTCTGGAGCGTACGACGTGAGGATACTGGACAGTGCTCCTACAGGTAACATGCTCACCTGATGCGCCATCTCTTGGACAAGTTCCTTTGGATGCAAAGAAGTAGCTAGCAAATAAGTGCACGTGTTACTCAGTTATTTACATGAATACACTTACTGTTTTGCTTAGTGTTAAAGATTTAGATGATGAAGATGAATGGTCTGTTTTAATGTTTACTATTTTATCATGATGGCAATAAAGGACAACAATTTTCAGTACTGCTTCCCTTTATCAGTGGCATTAATTGGGATAATGGTTTTTCAATTTCTTTCAAATTCGGTGTAATTTAGACATGCAGTGCATCATGAACAATGCCTAAAAGTTTTAATGCAAGCTATTGACTTAATTTTGTCTTTGATGTCAACAGATATTTTTAAAAGGAATTTCTTTCAGTGCTATCACACAGTAAAATCTGACTTGACTAAACTTACATAACTCCACTCCCTTTGTAGGTATCAAGCATGACGGAACTATGTGTGACACCTGCCGTCAACAGCCCATCATTGGTATTCGCTGGAAATGTGCCGAATGCACCAATTACGACCTCTGCACTACATGTTACCATGGAGACAAGCATCACCTTCGACATCGCTTCTACAGGATCACCACCCCGGGCAGTGAGAGGTACGCCTGTACATTAGCTTTAGATTTCACTTGGGTACCAGTTTAACAAGTCCATGTTGATTTGGTTTTATTTCTGTGATAAATTTGGCAGCCGTATTTTGTGAGCCTCAGATTGAACGTATCTCTCGCAGCCAGCCTCAGTTGCCAAGCAACACTTCGGCCTTGTTACAGTCTGTGTTGTTTAGGATCTGTCACAAAACTGACCATCAAAACCATTTTGAAATTGTTCCCAGAGATAATTTCTTTTGTATAAATTAGTATTGTTTTATCCTGTCTAATCCTCTCATCACAGACAGTGCACATCTCAGCCTTACCAGGGAGTCATTTAATGTGACATTTTTTGTGTGTGTCACAACAAAGTTTGTAATTATAGATTTTACCTTATTATGTTCAGAAGGGTATTTTCCCATGCATGCCATGTCAAAATTCAGACCTAAAAATGTCCTGTAAATGGTTGTAAAAATCCTAAATCTCTCTTGACCTAGAGTCTGGTGTTCCCTTGGTTATGATGCTGATGATATTTGAAAGTCTGATTGAGCACACCCCAGACTAGTGACTGAACACATGGCCTAACAGCTGGCAGCCTTTTCATCTGACTATGACTTTATTTCCCTCGGAGACAGACGTGCATACAGAACAATGGGTGTTGATGGTCTCCAGTGCACACCGCCCTGACACTGTGGTGAAGAGCTTTGTTACACCACATTAAAGTCTTTTACTAAATGCTGAGGGGGTGTGGTTTGAACCATAAGTGTTGGCGTTAGCTAGACTGACACTGTTCAGCTGGTACACATCAAAGCACAATGTTCTTAAGAAGTTATAGGTGAAGTTATGGCCTTGCAAAGGTTAATGCTGCTTTTTTATGTGTTTTACATTAACGGCTTTTTAACATGTGAATTTTATGGTTTTCTCACCTCAACTGAAATGTGATTGGCAACTTTGTGTTAATTCCTTCCTAAATTCTTGTTGCATGCATGACAACATATATGTTTGGAGTCTGGGCTACTTTTACAAAATGAAAATGATAAAGAGTTACTTTTGTTACTTTTATTAACAGTGGCAAGACACTGAGTCAATATAACAGTGATCGCAATACGGTACCCTTAGATGCTTATTAAACGTAAACCATTATCCTTTCAGTAGTGCACTTTTTGGCACCTTAAGTCTGTGTTTAACTATGTAATATGTATATGTATTTAAGTTATTCACTATAAAGTCCAAAAGTCCTAAATACTTTGAGGAGCTACATAAAGGGATGGAGAGCTACAGGTACAGGAATCCCTGAGTTAGAGCTAGTGGTCCAAAAAGTCTTAAACATTTTATTACAAGTATTATGCCTTGATTCAAGTTGATTATGCAACACTTAAATTGGATTTAAATTAAAATCCACTGCAGTTTTTATAGCCGACTATATTTCAAAATGTCATGCTGCTACACTGTATTTTAATTTTACTTACCAGACACACAAACTACAAAGTGCAGGCCCCAAACCCAAATTATCTGCTCTGAAACAGTCTATCTCATTTTGTGGCTGGTCAGTTGAGTGTACACCATAATTACAGAACTGTAGGTCTGTGGGAAGGAAGTCACTTAACTTCACACACTTGTTTAGTCTGCCCTAAAATTGAATGAGGAAAAATAAGTGTTGTGATTAGTGCTTTGCTTATTGTTATTGCAAGTAATACAACTTCACTTTCTATAATACTCTTGTATTAGACCCAGGTAATTGATTCAGTTTTAATCAAGACCAAGATTCAGCCATATGATAGGGTTTTTTGTTTAATTTATGGGTATACCACAAATCCTCTGTCCAGAGGACAATTTAGAACAGAATTTAGAGCAGAATTTAGGCTTAAGAGGAATAACCCTTAATAAATTTCTGCGTTAAATGTCACTGAATAACAGCTATGCTCATTAAATCAATATTATTTCATAAAAAAAATAAAAAATTATGATATTTCATACCATATCGCATGTCGTAATTGTATTGTTAATAACATTTATTCTGAGATGAGACAAGAGATGGGGTTCCCAATAACGAGACCACACAAGATTTTGAAATAATTGAAAAAAATACTTAGACCAATTCATAATTTTTGTCACATGATTTTTATTTATTTTAATTTTAAGTTTGTTTTGTTGTGACTGCATTTTTGTTTGATGATTGTAGTTGACACATTTTTTGGACATGACTAAACTAAGTAATTTTCATCATATGCCTAAATGCCTTTTGTGCTTTAAACACATATTTACTAACCTATTTACTAACACCTCCCCACATGCATCACTACTGAGTACAATCTGTCTAATACACATCACTGCTTGGACAGAGGAGCGCTTCTCTGTCCTTCTTTCTTACTTTAAACTAAGTTATAGATGAAGAAGGCCTAAATATCTCTTTGTGGATCCTTTTCGGTAACAGTACTGCAGTGTGGAAAACAGTACATGTCCTGGTGATTTAAACGTACATATATTAGATTTTTATTTAGTGATTTTTAAAAATACAATCTTTAGCAGTGATGATCTGCGTCAATATTGGTCCGATCACACTGAAATAAAAACTGGAGCAGAGTTTGAAGTGTTCTGTCAGAATATATAGGTGCAAGTCAACTTTCCAGAGCTGAACGAGGTGTAACCCTTTCATGGCCATGTCACATGTAAAGACGGAGAGAATGTCACGAGATTGGTATTCCCATGTGCGCACAGTCTTGTGGCAAATTAATCTTGAGATCTAGTCCCATTCCTAATATATTCCTGTCTTGACAGAGTGCTTTTGGAGTCACGGCGAAAGTCCAAGAAAATCACAGCCAGAGGGATCTTCGCTGGAGGCCGTGTGGTGAGAGGAGTGGACTGGCAGTGGGAAGATCAGGATGGGGGCAACGGGAGGAGAGGAAAGGTACGGCCATTCACGATATTACACAATACTTACTACATTACACACAGTCAGTACATGCTAAATGTGAGTGACACAGTTTGATTACAGTCAGAGTAATTGTATTTTATTTGCTAGGTAATTAAATTAACAACCTTTTAACTATATAGTTCTACAGTTCTCCTTCCATGCAATTATCATTACTCTTGATTACCAAAATACTTAATAACAAATCTTGTTCTGAAACGTTTTATATATGTATTTGGTTTACTTTTATGAACATCAGTGTTCTCTCATCATTAGTTTACTCAGACTTGGTTTGTTTGAGTGAGCCTCTTTTGTCCTACATTTAAGCACTCAGTGCTTGGTAAGAATTCTTGTTTTCACCTGCCACCTATCTCTGCCCCACTGCACAAAAAAATCTGGCTATGGATAAAACATGTCATGTAAGTTTCAACAGTAAAAACAAGTATGAAGAGGTAATGGGGCCTCAGTTCTGCAGTTTTGAACAGGAAGTCAGCGGACCTGTTTTTATTATTATCCTTATGTATATAAATGTAAACACATAATATTGTTTTAATAAGTGTAAATTAAACAGCTAGATAAATCAATTTTAATTACATTTTGTGACTTATTTTACTATATCTTTCTATATGTTTTCTTTAATGCTGACACTGCAGTTTATCCATGTTTTAAATTAATCTCTTGGGGTAATACATCTCTGAGGTTGCTTAGCGCTGCTTATTTAGATTAACACAAGATCAGTGTCATAAAGAGGTTTTATTTTGACTCAGGTCCAGACCCCTGAGTATTCAATTTAAGAGTCCCCCTAGGCAATTTAAGACTTCATATTGCTCTGTTATTTAATGGCATATCTCATTACTGTTTTATGATGCTGTAAGCAATATGTGCTGCAGAAAAACATTGAGTGTCCTGTAGCTTGAATATACTGCGTGAATAGTGTGAATATTGCCTCCTCAGGCCCATTAATCAATTACCTCTGGAAGGGACCTGGAATATAATTTAATGATTTGGTTTCGTTGTTTACTTAAGGCAAAGCTTTTAATTAAACATTTCATTTACTTTACTGTGGATCATCCCTTGACAATCTTTTCCAGTATTGTGGCAATGGCTTTTAAAGAAGTGCTCAGAATTTCATTTCAATTAAATATTAATTGACTGTGTATTTTTGTTTTAATAGTCTGTTTTTATAACAGTTAGCCTCAGGTAGAATTCAGCTTTGACAGTCACTAGTTATTTATTTTGTAGTATTTTTACTCTTATTCATTTTATTACTATTCATTTTGTGTTATGCTACTTTTAGGACCATTTATGGCTTTTAAAACTGTTTTAATCTCACAATTTATACCCAGGGTGGTGTACTGACAGACAAAATTATATTATTTTCCCTAATTGTCATACATTACAATAGACTAACATAATTTGTTATTTAAACGTTACACGAGGCAGTCCATATCATTAATCTACTTTTCCTGTTTCAAGTGCTCTTAATAGAAAATTGATAGAGATATTGATGCAAGGAAGCTCCCCGAATTCATCAAAAAGCTAACATTGATCATCCTCTAGGCTGCCCTACACAATAATTAGTTTCTAAAATGGCTTCATCTGAATCTTTTGCAGAATCCACTTTATACACAGACATGTGTGGATAAATGTAAAATACTTTTACACCAAGTTTGCTCTGACTGAACTTGTTTTTGTTGCTAGGCTTGCTTGAACAAATAAACCTGGTTAGGTGCCTTTAATTATTATTCTTTGAAGATTTTCACATATTTTCCCTATAACAAACCAAAACCACAATAGCTTTAGCATTGACTTGAAAATTTCAGTGCAGCAGGAACTTAAACTAAATCTAATTACATCTCTCATAATGAACACTTAAATTAAATTTCATCACAGTAATTCCCATTTCTAATATTTCACAGCACTTTGGGAATCCAACAAAGAGTCGTGTAGCAGCAGACACTATTGTGTATAGATTTTCCTTTAAGCCTGCCAGGTACTTCTGTATTCCTTTGTTACTATTACAATAGGGGACTATGTGAGTCGGAGACAGTTACAAATAAAGTGAAATTTTAAACCTGGGAGTGTACATTTCCTATTGTCAAGAGGTCCAACTTGTTTTCTTCCTATCTTTGGCGTTGTCACTCAAACGTTAAGCTTGATAGACTGTAGAAAAGATTATCTTATGAAATTAGATTAACCATTGTATTTCTTTTTGTTGGTTCCAATATAAACACCTGCAGCAACGTAGTAGATTTCTCATCCACCTTGTATCGTATCCTTTATTCAATTTGCTGTCTTTATTGGCACAGGACAAAAACAAATCAATTAGCTAACACTCTGTTCTTCTTCTCCTCTTTCTTTGCAGGTGACTGAGATCCAGGATTGGAGTGCAGCCAGTCCCCACAGCGCAGCCTATGTGCTCTGGGACAATGGTGCCAAAAACCTGTACCGGGTTGGCTTCGAGGGAATGGTGAGTCCAGTGTAACCATTGTAATTGTACACACACACACTCTTCTTGGTGGTTCAAAATAGATCTTATGAGCTGATACAATAACCAATATTTGTTGATATTGATATCAAATCTTTAAGATCCATAGCAGGGATCCAAAATCCATGTTGAATTCACAAATTACCTTGGCAAAATGTATTTATCTGTTGCATAGTTGTGTACACATACAGCCATATCTTTAGCCACAAAAACACAAATCTTATTCACTGAAAACAAACTGAATGCAACATGGACACACACAGAATAGGCCATTGCTGCAAAAATATCGGTGCCAAATATCGGCTAAATCTTAAATCAACATCAGACTGATATCTGGGGGACTGATATTTGGGGAACTGCTTCCTGGAGGTTGCTTTTGTGTGTCTTGTTTTTCATTTGCCTCTGGTCTATTGTCTGGACCAGGCAGGCTGCATGGTAGGGCACAGTTGTCCGGGGCAGCTGGAAGAGGAAGACATCTGCATGATAAAGGCCAAAGCTGTCCCTTCTGGTAGTTTTGGGGAAGGAGCGTTCACACGGAGGTCAAACTTGTGCAGAGGGGGTCTGCTCTGGGCGCCACTACACACGCGTCTCAAATAATAAAAAGCAATCTGATTGGTTGAGCCTGACCTAGCCCTTGAATGAAAGAGTCCAATTGGGTTTCTAGATTGCGTAACAGATTTGGCTTTTGTAATTGTAATGAATTAAATGATATTCAGACAGACAGATATGGCATATGCTCATGGGTGAAGTAAATAAATTAAACTCCTTACTCCAAGTGGTGGTTGGGATTTACATTATAACTTCATATTTGTTATTTTTGTAACATTTTGTGTTATATTTTATTCAATTAATATTTATTCAAAAACACAAATACAGAGATCATCTAGTATTTAATGTTTTGTCTTAGATTAGCAGCAGCACAGGGTGTGATACAGATACACAAAATCTGTTGTACCACACTGACAATATGGTTGCTATAAATTACAATTCCTAGACTAAAATTAGTTAAATATCAAATCAACAAGACTGTAAAATTAGATGTTAAAATAATGTAATTCAGCAAAGGTAAACATTTTACATAGAACTGGTGACTGTATCATCAGTAACAAATATGCTGGATAGACTATATCTGCAACCTGACCTGTAAATTCAACAATATAAAATTCTCCCGTTGACCCCTATTTTATTAAAGCGATCTTCTGAATACACTCCTTCTTAGTGTACAAAATTATATTGTAGTATATAGTTGTGTGTTTTATTGGATTTCCTGGTAATAGTCTTGGTTTGTTGGGACTTGCTATGCTCCTTCAGTGCAGAGGAATGCACGCTCTGCTTTAGTATCATCTTTGCCCTCTAACTTCACCGCGCCTCTGCGTCTGAGTCATCACAAATGATACGAAGCACTCCACTATTTCATTGTCCTGTCATACCCTTGGGCCATACCGGTATGATATTGTTGCCCATCCATGCGGTAACATCAATACTGCCATCATATCTGTATAAGTTTATTATGCAGGATTAAGCCTCACTTTAATTTAATTTCTGTGTTATGCTATTTTCTTACAGTCCGATCTTAAGTGTGTCCAGGATGCTAAAGGAGGCTCTTTCTACAGAGATCATTGCCCTGTTTTAGGTGAGTAAATAAGTGTTATTTGTATGCCATCCATATTGCACCAATTCTCACCTATGTGTGCTGGTGCAGTGAATTCAAGGGCATTAGGGGAACCTCACTTGTAGTTAGTTGACTTTGGGCACTAGATGGCAGCACTATACAGTCCCTTGTCCTGTAAAAGTTTGATCTTGGCATAGGTCAAATGCTGGAGGCTCCACACATTTGCTTTTCTTGTAGAAACCCTAACCCCAAGTTATGTTGAATGTCACATCAAGAAATGGTTATATACTGTAGACGTAATCATATGTTTAACTTTTAGAAGACATATATTTTAACCCTATTCTGTCTGACCTATTGGATTGTGTTATCAAAACTAAATACTTGCACAAGAATCATCAATTATACAAAAAAAAAATATATATATATATATATATATATATATATATATATATATATATATATATTATATTATATATTATTATCATCGTGGTATCAAAATTGATATCAAGTATTGAGCCTTTTCCTGAGTAAACCCTAAATTGTATATCGTCTTTAACGCCGCTATAGGTGAACAAAATGGCAACAGAAATCCAGGTGGTCTTCAGATTGGGGACCTTGTCAACATAGACTTGGACCTAGAGATTGTCCAGTCTCTTCAGCATGGTCACGGAGGCTGGACTGACGGCATGTTCGAGACCCTCACCACCACTGGTACTGTGTGCGGCATCGACGAGGACCATGACATCGTGGTGCAGTATCCCAGTGGTAACAGGTATATGAGAGAGAGCAGTAATGTCCCTATCACTTCAGTGCCTTTTAATTGTATTGGCTTGGAATTAAATGCATGATTGAATAGTTGCTCTGTTACATAGTTAATTCTAATAAGGTCTTTTAAAGCATCTTATTTTAAGTAATTGAATGGTTTAAGCAATGCAGTTTTTCCAATTCTTGTAAAAAACACAATGATGTATTCTTGCGACTCTAGATAAAATTTGCTATTAATATATAATAATATATTGCGTTTTCTATACTGTAAATTTTGTCAGTTACAATTCCTCATGAAGTTTGTTTCAATTGAGCTGCTGTCTGATCCCATCACTGGTACTTGTTTTAGATGGACATTCAATCCCGCAGTTCTGACAAAGGCCAACGTGGTGCGGAGTGGAGAGGTGGCAGCGGGGGCAGAGGGGGGCAGCTCACAGTTCATGGTGGGAGACCTGGTCCAGATCTGCTACGACATTGACCGCATCAAGCTTCTACAGAGAGGGCATGGAGAGTGGGCTGAGGCCATGCTACCTGTAAGAATACACAACTATTATTCTTATTAAAATACAAATTTAAACTAGATCAGCACTGCATTGTTTCTTTTCTAATCCTTTTATACAGTCCCAGTCTGTAGTTTCCAATTGTTCTGAGCTCACTGCAGCGGCAGCCCCAGATTCTGTACAGAAATATTGCTCTTATTGACATGATTCATCAAATCATTTTATGGCTCTTGCTCTGAGACTTCAATTCCTCACCTATTATGAAGTTTATCCGTAGCTGCCCAGCGCGCCTTGGGTTATGTAACGACGGTCTCCTCCAATATGCCACTTGTCCCTGCCAAAGCGGCCCCCCTCAGCAGCTAATGAGCCTTAAAACCCTGAGATGGGCTGTAGCTTTGATCACTAACCAAAGCTGCCGGCCGCCCGCTGCTGCTGGTGCTGCTGCAGTCTGTGTTATTGATGGCACCGTCAGGACAGTCCCGCTCCCGTCTGAACAGCCCTGTGTCATGTCGCTGTAATCACCATGATGTCATTCCGATTGGAAAGCATTTTCCACCGCATTCTTCATCTGTCCACTAGAAAATGATTGAGAAGATGTATTCCCGGCTCAATGTTTTAATGTTATTGCATTCTTTTAGATTCAAAATTGTATTATCATGAGTTATTAAATACTGTCTGACGGATGTTTGTGAAACTTCTTCGATTCAGAGATTTCAAGTTTCATATGTCAAATATTAGCTAGAGACAGTATATTTATGTATTTGTCATACAGTTAAATAGTTCCTGAAGACCACAGCAAAAACTTGTTATAACTTAACTAATAAAAAAAAACTGATACTTCTTCATTGAAAATGTAATTCTACTAAAATAACATTATACAATGTATTTTCTGTTCTTATGATCGTGATGAGCAGTGTAGCATAGTGTTTACCTGTAAATGTGCCATATGCTAATTCCGACATGTATATTTTCATGGTACTTATCCCTTTGTCCCTGTTTATCAACAGACCCTGGGCAAAGTTGGGCGCGTACAACAAATCTACTCTGACAGTGATTTAAAGGTCGAAGTTTGTGGAACCTCGTGGACGTACAATCCTGCCGCTGTCACCAAGATTGCTCCCTCCGGCTCTGCTGTCAGCAACGCCTCTGGAGGTACACGCACATCAACATGCAACACAGACAAGGGCTGTGCTACTACATTTGCCATGTCTTCTTCTACTTGTTTTTTTGACAACTACACACGTTCATTTTGTTTGTTATCTCTTTGGTTAGAGCGCTTGTCCCAGCTGTTGAAAAAGCTGTTTGAGACACAGGAATCTGGGGACATCAACGAGGAGCTGGTAAAGGCAGCGGCTAACGGAGATTTGGCCAAAGTGGAGGATATCCTGAAGAGACCTGACGTGGATGTAAGTGAATCTAAATGATTGCATTGTCCGGAAACAAAGTAACTCAATAGGGAAGATATGAGTTTCAAACCCTTAGACTTGTTGGCGTACTCTGACAGTATTGAGGTGGTCTCTGGGGAATACCCTCCCACCCCTGCATTTCTCTCCTTCAGAATAGCACTAGTCCTAGACCAGAGGATGCACAGAGAGCAATGCAGCACAAACCTCACTCTGAACTCAGGTTCAAATCTGCAGCCCACACCAGTGCAGGTCTGACTCCAGCTCCTCTGAACACCAGTGTAGCACTTCGGCTAAAGGACATGTCTCAGATGAGAAGTGACCATTACGTCAAGTCTGCACTAAAAACCTGTCGTCACTGAGCGTTGGGAGGGAGCGTGTGCGTGTCATTGGTGAGAGCTGGCCAGCTGCCCCACTGCCTTTCAGTGGAATTATTTGCTTAAAGCTGAGCACATTGAGCTAGACCAAGTGATCCGCTTGCCAGGACAAGAGATGTCTCGAGACTCCCAAAGGACTCCACATTAATATTCATGCTCTTGAGTTTTTGCAGTGCTGCAGTTGGTGATGAAACATGCGCACATAGCCATGCATACAAATCCACACATACAAATCTCCATTATTGTACAGGGCTAATTCAGTAGAGTGTAGGTCTAAATAAAAGCTTTGGCCATGACGTCACGTTTACTTGTAATGTGAACGTTTCATGTTTTTTAGGTAAATGGGCAGTGTGCTGGACACACGGCCATGCAGGCAGCCAGTCAGAATGGTCATGTGGATGTGTTGAAGCTTCTGCTCAAACACAATGTGGACCTGGAGGCTGAGGTGGGTGAAGTTACACAAATCTACTTACACTTTGTAAATGCATTGTATGTGTCAGTGGGTGTAAATAAAACAGTTAGAGATCCAACAGTCAGTTAATCTCCTGTAATGTCATTGACTCAGGACAAAGACGGGGACCGAGCAGTGCACCACGCAGCCTTTGGTGATGAGGGCTCTGTCATTGAGGTGCTGCAAAGGGGCGGAGCTGATCTGAATGCAAGAAATAAGCGTAGACAAACTCCTTTACATATAGCCGTCAACAAGGGTCATCTACAGGTGGTCAAAACACTGCTGGACTTTGGCTGCCATCCAAGTCTACAGGTACTTAATGATACAGTTTCTTTGCCCCCAACAGTTGTATCATGAATGAATAAGTTTGCTTTTACCTATATGGGTTTAATGAATCTGACTATATTTCACACCTGTAGGACTCTGAAGGGGACACGCCTTTACATGATGCTATCAGTAAAAAGAGAGATGACATGTTGTCTGTACTGCTCGAGGCCGGCGCAGACGTCACTATCACAAACAACAATGGTTTCAACGCTCTGCATCATGCCGCCCTAAGAGGAAACCCCAGGTATGACCCTCTTCTACAAACTATCTGCTTCACTTGTGTCCTTTAAAATCTGCTCTATTTCTACAAAGCTGACAGCTGATTTGTTTTGGCTGAATTTTACATATGAAATGTGCTTTATTATAAATTTTTCCCAGGCTCATAGAGTGTAATAAATCTTGTGCTAAAGTCCGTTTGGGGATGTCTTTTAATTTTGACGTTGATTGAGGTAGAATAAGGCGTGTAGAGTAACTGCACCTCCTCAGCAGATGGTTTGGACTTAAAATGATGTGGGACTACCTTTGAGGCCCTGAAAGCATCTGTTTTATGTTATTTTCTATATTAGCACGGTTAATAGCCCTTGAAGTTCATTTGTCGCTTCTCTTTATTGTTATGCCTGTCTGTCGCTGAGTCGCGATCGGTGGCTGGCCCCGAGCGGTTAGCCTCCTCAGTCAGTGGTGCTCCTTGTCCTTGGCTAAAGCTATTTCTGGAAGCAGCAGGTTCTTCTAGATACTCGTTGGCTGTTTTGTGTCGTCTCTCATCTGTAAGCGTAGAGAGAGGCCTGTCTGTATCAAGTTGATCATTCGGGGTTGTGTTCACTTGACGGATGCTGACACTACAGGGGCAGGTTTTTATAGACTGGAGTCATTTTGAGAAAACTTAGCAGCTGCTTCCTGTGACTAGCAATTGGAATGTGCTACTATGTATGTATGCATATCTATGTGGCTCTAGTAATGTCTCTCTCCTTCACTTGTATTTGAGTTGTTGGCGCAGGGAATTGTTGTTGCATCACTAAAATGTTATCTTTTTTTCTCAATCCTGATTTCAGTGTTACAATGATAATTAAAACCCTAGAATAGATAGAATAAAATTTCATCTTTAACAGAATTAGTTCAGTCTCTTTAATATTACCATGTAATCTTATACAAGTTGGTAAAACCATCCTAAAAAAAATCTTAGTTATTTTTTTTGTAATATTTATACTTGAATAAATGAGTATATAGTTTAATACCAGATACTATTTTAAGTAGGTGGGTTTTATTTATTTGTTTATTGCAAAAATGTATACCTATAATTGGGTGAAGCTGTCCATGGGCTAGAACATGCCTGTAAATGTCTTGGTTAAGGTTCAAGCATCATACATAAAGTGAACAGAGTGTAAAATTAAACTCTAAAATGCTGTGATATCACCTTGTACCCTTGAATGGAAAATTATACTGCAAGATTCTTTTTAAACCACACCAACTATTATTCAGATCTTGACAATTTTCTTATGATACATAATCTACTCGTCAATCTAATTATGCATATCGTGTATATTATCTTGTAGCTGATATATTGCCCTCCTCTACTATCATGAAGCCCTTGTGTGTATTAGCGTATATTTGTGGCTGCAGAAATGTCACCCTCCTTCACTAGCATTCGTTTTGTTGGCGCTGGGACAAATGGGATTGAGGTCAAAGTGCCGCGGACCACCTGCCACGCGCCTGGCCAAACCCGCGCTCCACCTCTGGCACTCCACACAATAGATTATTTAAAGCTACTGACGTATTCCTTTTGTGATGTACTCCTCAAACTTTAGGGTTATGATTATTGTGGGAAGAAATATCACGATTTATCCGTTATTCAGAATAGCGATACACCCATCCATTTTTTTTCAATTCCGACACTGGTAGTATCTGCTGATACTTGACATTACCCTATTAACTAACAGTGTAGGGCTGGAAAATGGCACTTGTTACCTAAAACTTATTACACAAGAGAGTCAGCTGTTATTTATCCACATTACTACTGAGTAGCTTCGTATGAATAAAAGTAAAAATATTATTATTATATTACATTCTATGAGAAAATTAGCCTGTAAATAGTCTTATTACGTCCAATTAAAGCCCCAACCATAATACTTACTGAACCAATACCCAATCCAGCAAATTTTTAAAGTGTCAGTGCCAATATTCTATACCAGTATTGGTATCTGTGCTTCCCCTATTCAGAATTATTACGACAGAATACACGTTTATGATACATTTCTTTCATTCTCATGTTCTCATGTTAAATAGACAATTTTGACCAGCTTTATGAAATTAAACTTTAAAGATGGACAGTTTAGATTGAATTTAAATCAGAATTTTAGTGCTACTTTTTTCTTTCTAAAATTACTTACTTTTTAGTATTTTAAATTAATTATATGACCTGTATAATCATGAGTATTGCTTAATCTAACAATGTTTACATCCCTACTCCACTCTGTATTTCATTTAGGATGTTTTGCTTTCTGCTTTTCCCTCTGGCAGGCTTTCTCGAGTCAATGATCCCTAAAATTCTATAATTAAATGTAATTATATAGGCATAGTTCTATCTGATAATAGTCATGTGGAGAATGTTTTGCAATTACACCAATATACGAGTTAAAACCTAAATGATTCTCCCACTGCACCCATTGGCCAGCTGGTCAGCACTTTCAGCTTCTGTAATCTTTAGTGACAAAAAGTGACACAGCTTCTGTTAGATTGTTCAATGCAAAGCTCTTTAACCGTAATGGATAATTGTTAGTAAAAATCACATGTAAGTGGAATTAAAACAGGATTACTTGTGTGATGATAATGCAAGTGAAATGCCCCTTTGCAAACTAAACAAAATGTAAACGAGTAGTCTGCTAAGAGACCCATCGACTGGCCTGGGCAGAAAGTGCTGGGGTCGGCTGTTTTGTGAATCAGAGGTCCTGTCGTGTTTTGTGTGCGCCGGTCCACTCTGCGTCCCTCCTCGCCTTCACAGAAACCAAGATATATGTCGCCTTCGCCAGTCTGCCCATTTACTTTTATTTCACGCTCGGGCTGCCGCAATATCAGCAAGACGGTGCACAAGTCCTAAAGCCCCGGAAAATCTCTCCCCAGGTCTGAGTCCAGTACCTGGTCTGGTCTGTTTTTAGTGCTGAACAAGTCGTGCCAATTGAAGTGCAATAAAGGAGGTCTTATTGTCGAGTCATATTTCCAGAAACATGGCACTGATGATGGCTGTCTTGGAGAAAAAAAAAAAAAACTGTTGAAGAGCAAATCAAATAGATGAGCAAGGGTGGTGTATAGACTCCTTTTTATAGATGCCATTTTTAGTGCTTTTCACCACAAAAAAAGTGTTTTGTTTTAAGTCATTAAACCCATAGATAGGATAGCAAATCACTACAATAAATGCTTTGTCTTTTAAAATGGTAATTATTGTGTGTGTTTAGAACAACCTCTCATGTATACTTGTTATACATAAATTATGATATTTGACCACTAGAGCTGAAGTAAGGCTGTGCATTTAATCAAATTTTAGATTTAGATTTAGTCATTTCTAATGATCAGTTCGGGTCTTTTTAATCGAGATGTTAACAGCCAATCTTCTGTCAGTAAAAGTATGCTGTTTGGAGCAGCATTCAGACTATTTCTGTGTTAATTGGCAATGATTAAAAGTCTGTATTGTTTATGTTCAGCATTTTAATTTGTTTACAACAAAATAAGAATCTAAATCGCGATTGTTCAATGGGGAGAAAAATCATCCCCCAGGCCTAAACAATAGAGCAAAAAAATTTGGATGTACTAAATTTTTCACGCCAAACATGAGTCATAAACGGTTAAGTAATTAATGTAAATTACCTCTAGTTGTTAGTTTTATTGTGCTGCTTCTGTGGATAACAAATATGCTAAATAATCACAGTGCAATGTTTAAAAAAATCCCCCTATAATTTCTTATTAGTGCCTCAGCAATTCTACCTTTTTAAATGCCTACAATTTAGTTTGATATTGACTCCAGAACATGAGGTGCTCCCCAGTGCCGGTGTTTAAATGTGCATTACGTGCTCTGCTGTTGTAACCGAGTGGGTGGGTCTCCCTGAGGTGCAGACGATTTAGGAAGATACAGAGGAGAAACTATTGGTGACAGATGATTCTTTCAGCTTTAGTTCCCAAACGGTGAGGAAAAATCAACTCTACCGACCGCACGGGAAACACTGTGTTAGATTATATTTCATTTTGTTCATTACTCACACGCTGCTGAACAAGGTGCAAGCGTGTTTCCTCATAAATTAGACCCTACAGTTGTTAACTTTTACAATTGCGAGTAATTTGCTCTGAAAAAGGTTATCTCGGACATCCGGTGAGCGGGTGTTCTTCTTTGTGTGTTTACCGCAGCCCTGGGCCCGTGAGGGGGTGCCTGCCTGCCTTGCGTCTTTCTCTCTTTCCCTGGGGCGGTGAGAAGCCGGTAGCTGTTACAATACTGTAAACAATACGATTAATAGCCCGTGACTCATAAACAGACTCCAAACAAGCCGTGCCAGTGCGGGCCCATACCCTTTTACGTGTCACCTCCTTGGAATATTTGCCCTCCTTCCCTCTCTTGTATATTGCCCTGCTTTCATTTAATACAAGCACCACAATATTACAACAGCACAGTTCAAAGCACTTATGGTAATAACGCTACACCTCCCTGCAGTGCTTTGAAATTTGCTATATCTCTATACGCCCAACGTAATGCTTCATCCTGTCACAACAAATAGGCCACTCGTAACATTTTGCACTGATTTAAATACCTAACATATACGGTACGTTCACATAGTCTTCCAGTACATTTTGACATTTCAGACAAATTTTTAGATTCAAAGATAATTATAACAAGAGCAACTATCATGTTAAAAATTATCTGAATGAGAGGGCCCGGTTGCACTGACAAGTCGGCCAAATTAGCAGCCCAGTTGATGTGTAGAACAGGGCGGTCGACTACGCTGTGTGTGAGAAAACTTTAAATGGTCTTTTAGCTGAAAATTATGATGGTATAACTGCAAGTACTTTAGGCTTGTTATGGTTGGGTGATATTGTCAAAATAAATTTATATTTTTTTAAATTATATACTGCAGACTACAATATTCATGGCAATCCATCCGTCTATGCTCTTTGTTTACATATCACAAAAAAGTGAGTAAACTGTAAAATTAAACAACAGTGCAAAAATATCACTTTATACCTTTTATTTGAAAGATTATGCAGCAA